AAACATCGCCACTGGGGAGACAAAGGCGGTCGAGCGTGGTGCTAGCCACCCACCCCCTCGTGTGCCGTGCTGGCCTTCATACAGTGAGGGAAAAAAGTATTTGATCCCCTGCTGATTTTGTACGTTTGCCCATTGACAAATGATCAGTCTATAATTTTAATGGTAGGTTTATTTGAACAGTGAGAGACAGAAGAACAACAACAAAATCCAGAAAAACGCATGTCAATAATGTTATAAATTGATTTGCATTTTAATGAGGGAAATAAGTATTTGACCCCTCTGCAAAACATGATTTAGTACTTGGTGGCGTTTGGCCACTCGAACCTTCAGCCCCCTCCACAGATTTTCTATGGGATTAAGGTCTGGAGACTGGCTAGGCCACTCCAGGACCTTAATGTGCTTCTTCTTGAGCCACTCCTTTGTTGCCTTGGCCGTGTGTTTTGGGTCATTGTCATGCTGGAATACCCATCCACGACCAATGTTAAATACCCTGGCTGAGGGAAGGAGGTTCTCACCCAAGATTTGACGGTACATGGCCCCGTCCATCGTCCCTTTCATGCGGTGAAGTTGTCCTGCCCCCTTAGCAGAAAAACACCCCCAAAGCATAATGTCTCCACCTCCATGTTTAACGGTGGGGATGGTGTTCTTGGGGTCATAGGCAGCATTCCTCCTCCTCCAAACACGGCGAGTTGAGTTGATGCCAAAGAGCTCCATTTTGGTCTCATCTGACCACAACACTTTCACCCAGTTGTCCTCTGAATCATTCAGATGTTCATTGGCAAACTTCAGACGGGCATGTATTTGTGCTTTCTTGAGCAGGGGGACCTTGCGGGCGCTGCAGGATTTCAGTCCTTCACGGCGTAGTGTGTTACCAATTGTTTTCTTGGTGACTATGGTCCCAGCTGCCTTGAGATCATTGACAAGATCCTCCCGTGTCGTTCTGGGCTGATTCCTCACCGTTCTCATGATCATTGCAACTCCACGAGGTGAGATCTTGCATGGAGCCCCAGGCCGAGGGAGATTGACAGTTCTTTTGTGTTTCTTCCATTTGCGAATCATCGCACCAACTGTTGTCACCTTCTCACCAAACTGCTTGGCAATGGTCTTGTAGCCCATTCCAGCCTTGGGTAGGTCTACAATCTTGTCCCTGACATCCTTGGAGAGCTCTTTGGTCTTGGCCATGGTGGAGAGTTTTGAATCTGATTGATTGATTGCTTCTGTGGACAGGTACCTTTTATACAGGTAACAAACTGAGATTAGGAGCACTCCCTTTAAGAGTGTGCTCCTAATCTCAGCTCGTTACCTGTATAAAAGACACCTGGGTGCCAGAAATCTTTCTGATTGAGAGGGGGTCAAATACTTATTTCCCTCATTAAAATGCAAATCAATTTATAACATTTTTGACATGCGTTTTTCTGGATTTTCTTGTTGTTATTCTGTCTCTCACTGTTCAAATAAACCTACCATCAAAATTATAGACTGATCATTTTTTTTGTCAGTGGGCAAACGTACAGAATCAGCAGGGGATCAAATAATTTTTCCCCTCACTGTAGGTGCTCGCTAACAGCACTTTCCCCAACAGTCTGTTAAAGCTATACGGGGGGGGCTTTGTACGTATGTGGGGAGCGGTGGCGCCGTGGTTAGCGCGCTGTGCCTCGAAACTCGGGGACCCGGGTTCGGTTTCCGCTCACGGTCATCCCCCGCAATTCCGATTAGCGCGGTTGGCTGCGTACGGTGAGAAAAAAAAAAGTTCAACACGCACACACATACACACATACACACATTTTTTCCCCCAATTCTCGGAAGCCTCCGTTCGCTCCCCCAGTTCCAAAAACTCTCCACCCACCCCCTCTCTCTCATCTCTCCAAACTCCCCCCACCCCGCCCCTCAGTGCCCCCCCCCCCCCCACCAGCGTCACCTCCCGCCCCTCTTCATCGACGACAGCAGCAGCAGCAGCAGTTGCTCCCCGCCACTTCTGATTAAAATCTTCGAGCCAAGCTGCGAAGTGGCCGCGTGGTGAGCTGCCTTCAGGTGTGTGCACGTGTGTTTGTGTGTACACGTGTGTGTTTGTGTGTGCACGTGTGTGTTTGTGTGCACGTGTGTGTGCACGTGTGTGTGTGTTTGCACGTGTGTGTGTGAACGTGTTATGCACGTGTGTGCACGTGTGTGTGTGTGTGCACTTGTGTGTGTGCACGTGTGTGTGTGTGCACGTGTGTGTGTCTGTGTGCTCTTGTGTGTTTATGTTTGCACGTGTGTGTTTGTGTGTGCACGTGTGTGTGCACGTTTGTGTGTGCACGTGTGTGTGTGCACGTGTGTGTGTGTGTGTGCACGTTTGTGTGTGTACGTGTGTGTTTATGTGTGCACGTTTGTGTGCGTTTGTGTGTGCGCGTTTGTGTGTGCACGTGTGTGTGTGTGTGCACGTGTGTGTGTGTGCACGTGTGTGTGTGTGCACGTGTGTGTGTGTGCACGTGTGTGTGTGTGTGCACGTGTGTGTGCACGTTTGTGTGTGCACGTGTGTGTGTGCACGTGTGTGTGTGTGTGTGCACGTTTGTGTGTGTACGTGTGTGTTTATGTGTGCACGTTTGTGTGCGTTTGTGTGTGCGCGTTTGTGTGTGCACGTGTGTGTGTGTGCACGTGTGTGTGTGTGCACGTGTGTGTGTGTGCACGTGTGTGTGTGTGTGCACGTGTGTGTGGCACATTTGTGGAGAGCCGTGGTGCAGTGGTCAGATCGCTGCGCTACGAACCTGGCGATACGAGTTAAGTTCCCCGCTCACGGCCAACATCAGTGGGAATCGTCTGAACCGGTCCCGGGCCTCCTCTAAGTCGTCTCAGCCTCAAATGAGTACCTGATGCGGTGTGTAAACATCGCCACTGGGGAGACAAAGGCGGTCGAGTGTGGTGCTGGTCCCCTCGTGTGCAGTGCAGTCCTTTATTGGTGCTCGCTAACAGCACTTTCTCCAAAAGGCGTTTGAGGCTATACGGGGAACCTTTGTCTTGTGCGCACATATATATGTGTGTGTGCACGTGTCTATAAGGCGTGTGTGTGTATCTGAGGTGTGTGTATACGTGTCTGTAAGGCGTGTGTGGTGTGTGTGTGTGTATCTCAGGTGTGTGTGTGTACGTGTCTGTAAGGCGTGTGTGGTGTGTATGTACGTGTCTGTAACGCGTGTGTGGTATGTGTGTGTGTCTCAGGTGTGTGTGCACGTGTCTGTAAGGCGTGTGTGGTGTGTGTGTACGTGTCTATAAGGCGTGTGTGTATCTAATGTGTGTACGTGTCTGTAGGGCGTGTGTGTGTGTGTGTATATCAGGTGTGTGTGCACGTGTCTCTAAGGCGTGTGTGTGTATATCATGTATATGTGCACGTGTCTATAACGCGTGTGTGTATCTCATGTGTGTGTGTACGTGTCTGTAAGGCGTGTGTGTGTGTGTCTGTCTCAGGTGTGTGTGTGTGTACGTGTCTGCAAGGCGTGTGTGGTGTGTATCTCAGGTGTGTGTGTGTGTGCACGTGTCTGTAGAGCGTGTGTGTGTGTCTGTCTCAGGTGTGTGTGTGTGTGTGTACGTGTCTGTAAGGCGTGTGTGGTGTGTGTCTCATGTGTGTGTGCACGTGTCTAGAAGGCGTGTGTGTATCTATTGTGTATGTGTACGTGTCTGTCAGGCGTGTGTGGTGTGTGTATCTCATGTGTATGTGCACGTGTCTATAAGGCGTGTATGTATATCAGGTGTGTGTGCACGTGTCTGTAAGGCGTGTATGTGTCTCATGTGTGTGTGTACGTGTCTGTGAGGCGCGTGTGTGTATAGCAGGTGTGTGTGTGTACGTGTCTGTAAGGCGTGTGTGGTGTGTGTGTGTCTCAGGTGTGTGTGTGTACGTGTCTGTAAGGCGTGTGTGTGTGTCTCATGTGTGTGTGCACGTGTCTGTAAGGCGCGTGTGTGTATATCAGGTGTGTGTGTGTCTGTCTCAGGTGTGTGTGTGTGTGTACGTGTCTGTAAGGCGTGTGTGTGGCTCAGGTGTGTGTGTGTACGTGTCTGTAAGGCGTGTGTGGTGTGTGTGTGTACGTGTCTGTAAGGCGTGTGTGTGTCTCAGGTGTGTGTGTGTGTGTGCATATCACGTGTGAGGTGCCCACGTGTGCAAGCATCTCCGGCGTGCAAGTTCGTGTGCAACTCAGCACCATGTGTTTGCATATGAACGGTTTGTGTGCGTGTGCATCCCACATGTGTGTTTGACTATTCCAGGTGGAGGAACTTGTGTGTGTGTGTGCAATTGTGGTGGTCGTTAACAGCACTTGCACCAATAGTTTGTTAAGGCTATACGGGTGATCTTTGTCTTTGTGCGTACGTGTGTGTATTTCATCTTAAGTGCATGTGCCGCGTGTGTGTGCATCTCAGGTGTAAGTGTGTGCGTGTTTATCAGGTGTGTGTATCAGGTGTATGTGTGTGTGTGTGCACGTTTGTGCGTAAGGTGTGACAATTATCCGAACCGGTTCTGGGCCTCCCCTAGGTAGACTCAGACTTAAATGTGTACCCGGTGCTGTGTGTAAACATCACCGCTGGGGAGACAGGTTCCCGGGGCCGTAGGACTGGCCACCCATCCACCAGCTCGTGAATCGTACCTGCCTAAATAGGCGTTCACTTACAAAATAAAATCACGTTGAACCCGACAGTCTGTCGAAGGCCGCACGGGTGATCTTCGTTTTTGTGTGCGCTTGCGTGTGATTCATCAGACTCGCGCGGGTGTCACACACCTGAAGCTTGGCTTCAAAGGCGCCGCCTGCACCGGTGCAGCTGCACGGGGAAGACGCGACGTGCCGCCCGTCGGAGAGAGCGAGAGCCAGAGGGAGGAAAGTTCTACCGCCTTCTCTCCCATCTCTTCATCCCCTCCTCCACTCCACCTCCAATCACCCCCATCCCCTCCCTCTCCTCATCTCCCGGCACTCTCGACCTTCGCACTCCCCCCCCCTCCCTCTCTCCCCCAGAGCCCCCCCCCCCACCGCCGACCCCCCCAAACCCCGCGATGGCCCCCCTCCTGCGCGTGCTCCTCCTCGCTCACCTGGTGTCGCAAGCTGCCCCCCAGACAGGTAAGATGCGCGCGCTGCGGATCGCGATCTCTGCGAAAGCAAAGGGTTGGTGGATCACGTAAAGATTTGTGAAATAATTTTCCATCACCACCCCCCTCCTCCCCTCCCTCACCACCACCACCACCACCGCCATCAATCCGCTGGGCGGAGAGGTTGTCTCGGAGGATGGCAGCACAGCAAGTGGGCTCGAGAATGAAGCCGTCGATGCGGATCGTTGAGTGTTTAGGGTGCCGCGGTGGGGAGATGTTAGCTACCTCGCCTGGTGTACAGGAGGTCGTGAGTTCCATCCCGACCCCCTGACGCCTGCTGCTGTATATTTGGAGTTTGCCTGTCTCTCTCTCTCTCCACGTGGTCGCGTGGATTTTTCTCCGGGTCCTCCGCTTTTCCCCTCAACATTTAGAATCAACGTCGCGCGTTTAGAGTCTTTTGTCTGCTGTGCATGTCCACGTGATGAAGCCACTTCGTCGTGCTGTCATTTGTGGCCAGATCGCTTCCAAAAAAAAGAGCTGTATAGCTCAGTGGGCCTCACATAAAATTAAAAGTTTAGTTTTATCCTCGTAATGCGTGGTGAGCTTCCTCCGGGTACTCAGATGTTCTCACTCATCCGACAAAAAAAAAACCACTCTTGCTTTTCGCTTTCTTGATTTCACCTCGTAACGCTGTGCCACCTCCCGATGAGCACGGTTGGCTACGTACGGTACGGAAGAAGTTCAACGTACTCACACACACATCGCTCTCGTCGAGAGAGGACGACTCGGACACGCTCCGGAGGAGGAGCCACAGGCGAGCGGGGAAGGCAGCAGCAGCAGCCGCGGGGGTGACCCGGCACTGCCAACAATGGGCCAAGCTCTGCGATCCCCTCTGTATATTAATGTGTTATCGACCAATTAATGAGCGTTCATGCACGTAGCTGGAAGCCGGAGTTCCCGGCGACAACCCGCGGATGCGAGGGGTGAACACTCCATGGCTCTCTGCACCTCCGATTGGTACGGTGCGAAAGGAGATACAGCTGTACGGCATATGCCGTACAGATGTATCAGATGTTCATGAAGTTCACATTGGCCTGCACTGCCTTCTCATGGCGAGCCCGGCTATGTCTCCTGGACGCCCAAACGGGAGGGGAATGGTCACCGCGTCTGTGTGTGATCCACCAACCCTGTCACGGTCACTGTGTGCGTGGCACGGGCGCCCGAAGCCTCCGACACGCCAAGCGGCCACAAGGAAACGGCCCTGCTGCTCAATGTGTGATGCTGGAAGGTCGGCGCGTTTCTGGAGTGGAGCAAGGTCGTCATGATAAGAGCTGGGGGCGGGGGTGGGAGAAGAGGAGTTTACAGAGTCGGGCAGTGCGAGGGAGGAAGCAGAGAGGGCCGAGCATTGGACTGCAAAGTCGACCAAACATTCCACTGCGAGATCCTCCTGAAACGAGTCGTAAGGGCTCGACGAGGCTTTGCCGGATAAATCGCGGACATCGTTTGCGGTCGCAGAAGAGTCACTGGTTGCATTGCACCATCTCGTCTCGAGGTAGAAATGCAAATAAAGAAGGGCCATTGCCCGAAGCGTTACATTATAATTTATTTTTTTGTTTACAAAGTAATGACTTTGTCTATCCACTGCTGGCATGAAGACTTTTCACAGGAGATGCCTTTCGATTTTGATTGATTGTGTGCGCGTCACCGTACTTTACCACGATTGATCAGAGCCGGGGATGGGGGGGCGAGGGGGGCGAGAAGAGCCCAGGACGGACCGGTTGAGATATCACTGATGTTAGCCGTGGCCTGGAATCGAACCTGGGCCCAGCTGAGTTCACCGCACAGTGTGCGAAGCACGACACCTCCGCTCCACCACCGCCTCCCGGTGGTTTCCCCTCCACATTCAGAATCAACATCCACGCGTTTCGATGATTTTGCTGATGCGAATGTCCACGTGCTGAGCCACTTCGTTTGAGCTGTCATTCGCGCCCAGGTCGCTTCTGAAAAAGAAGCTCATAGCTCAGTGAGCCTTACCTGGATAGATAAACAATAGTTAAATTTTGATGTAAAGCTTTCGTGACTGCAGGGATTCATATTCTTGGTTCTTTCGGTAAAGTCACGTAGAAGGGAACAATAAAATAATAAAAATATAAAACAATAAAATTCTCACGACGGTTCGACTGCAACACAAGCGATCATCATCAGGTGTGAAAACCACAACAACAGAAAATACAACAAGAAAATTTGTTGTGGTTTTCACACCTGATGATGATTGCTTGTGCTGCAGTCGAAACGTCGTGATTATTTTATTGTTTTATATATTTTATTATTTTATTGTTTCCCTTCTACGTGACTTTACCGAAAGAACCAAGTATATAATAGTTACATTTTATTTGTATATTTGTTTTGGTGATTTGTCTGTTTGTTGTAACGTTCTAACCCACCCCTACTGGACATGTGCGACAAGCAACTGTTAGAGCTCATCGAATTCCTCCTGCAGTATAGAGACAGATTCTGATTCTGCTGTGAATGGTGGTGTCGGATGAGCCGACGCCACCATTCCACACGCTCCTGTTGCTGTCCTTGTACTCCGTTCTCACTCAGTCATCCTCAGCGGCAGCAGCCACCATCTATCCACCGCTGGATGATGGCCTCCCTAAGCCGCCAATATCATTTTAACCCGTGCTGCGTTAACCCTCCCGACGCCGCCAATATAAGTTTAACCCGTGCTGCGTTAACCCCGTATCAATTGACAAACTCTTTAACTCATGCCGCAGGGACAACAGAGCAACGGCCCCTGACATTGAATTTCAAGAGGCGCGGGAGGGACAAGGCCTTCATCGAGCAGTGGATAGATAATGGCTGATGATGGTGGTGGTGGTAGACCTAGAAAACTTGATTCATAGACAGGGTGAGGATGAGGAGGAGGAGGCACGGTGTGTGGGTGCCTACGAGGCTCTCCGCGAGTCATTGTTTGCAGAGGAAGCTCGCGAGGGAGCGATTTCAGAGGAAGCGAGGGGGGGTTGGTGGTGGGAGGAGGAGGGGGGGTCAGCGATAGGGGGGCGGTGGGGGGAGCAGAGGTGGGAGTGGATGGGGGATCAGGGGAAGTCAGAGGAAGGGCGAGTCCGTCTGCTCTTGTGAAAAGACGACGATATGCCTTCCTCTTCACTTCACACACGTGTGCTTGTGTTCGAGTAGAAACACACAGACGGATAAAGATCCCCCGCGTAGCCTCTATCATACTGTAGGGGCAAGTGCTGTTAGTGAGTAGCGCCTATGGAGGCCGAAACAGCACCACGCCCGGCCGCCTTTGTATCCCCAATGGCGATGTTTACACACCGCACCAGGTACTCATTTGGGGCTGAGCCGACCTAGGGGAGACCCAGGAACTGTTCAGGAAATCGTCACCGGTGTTGTCCGTGAGCGGGAATCGAACTTGCAGCGCTAACCACTACACCACCACACCACGCGCACACCCGCATACAATAATGTAGGAAATGGTCAAACATCCCATTGGAGCAGGACTCTCATGAAGAGTTATCTTGAGAGTCAGGGAGGTTTTCCTGGGTACACAAAGGGCTATTGTTGTGACTGCATCCGCCCGGGCGTTCTGCTCTGGTCAAGAGGTCCCGACTCACAGTTCGAAGGCCAATTCTGCTTCTTCGTCTTCTTGTTGCCGTACGGCTGCTGATATCGATGCAGAGCAACGATTACCATTTCACATTCAGGTGCTCAAGTCAGAGCGGCGGAGTGCCTCGCTGCGATGTCTCCTTCGTGCTTGTACGGTATCTGTCCTGGATGAACGCAGTCGCACCACGATTTGTGCACCGGATGCGGTTCAGGGTGGACCACGAGCTTCGTCGAAGATCAGAAACCCCCAGGGGATCTTCTGCGTTGGCTCTTTCACGTTGACAGACGTAACAGACAAATGAAGTTAATTATAATTAACTCATCGCCATCATCAGCGGCTGAGCACGAGGCTGCCCGTAATCCAGCACTGTGGAGGCAGCAGCGAGGGTCGGTGAAACGCACAGTAGACGCTGCGTTGACGAGGTGTCATCACCATGATTCATCAGGAGAAGGCTGCATTGCAAAATTGTGGACTCCACCTGTTCCATCTGTATGGGATAGAGGGTTGTCCCCTCGCATGCGTGGGGTTGTCTTCGGGCGCTCCTGTGCCGTCCTCTCACCGCATAAACACGTGCATTGGCCGATAACACTTTCATGTATAGGGGACCGCAGACCTTGGGCAATTGTTGGTTGCGCCGGATCACCGTTGCGTGGCTGTTGCTGCCGCTGCTGCCGTCATGTTCGCCTGTCGTTCTTCCTCCTCTCTCTACGACGTCGAGTGAAGACTGTGCGGCTGAGCGTTACAAGTTGACACGCTCATTACTTTGAAGGGGCACCACGGTGGTGGTAATGTTAACTACCTCGCCTGGTATACAGGAGGTCGTGAGGAGGGGGGGGGCGCGGGGGGGTGGGGGATGGAGGGGTGCAGGGAGGGGGTTGCACATCGAGTTACGTCGGGGTAAATTATCTGTAGATTTGAGGTTCTTTACAACATTAGTTGACTGATAGATTTACGGTAGTTTGCGGTATTTAGGGGCGCCGTGGTGGCGAGATGGAGTTCCATCCCGACCCTGACCCCTGCTGTATATTTGGAGTTTGCGGTGTCTCTCTCTCTCTCTCTATGTGGTCGCGTGGATTTTTCTTCGGGTCCTCCGGTTATTCCCTCCACATTTAGAATCAACAATGTGCGTTTAGAGCATTTTGCCGCTCTACACGTCCACGTGATGATAATCCACTTAGTTTAGCTATCGTTTGTGGCCAGGGCACTTCTAATAAAAAAAATAAACTACATAGCTCAGTGGGCCTCAACCTGGCATAATAAAACCAAAAATACAGTGAGGGAAAAAAGTATTTGATCCCCTGCTGATTTTGTACGTTTGCCCACTGACAACGAAATGATCAGTCTATAATTTTAATGGTAGGTTTATTTGAATAGTGAGAGAGAATAACAACAACAAAATCCAGAAAAACGCATGTCAAAAATGTTATAAATTGATTTGCATTTTAATGAGGGAAATAAGTATTTGACCCCTCTGCAAACATGACTTAGTACTTGGTGGCAAAACCCTTGTTGGCAATCACAGAGGTCAGACGTTTCTTGTAGTTGGCCACCAGGTTTGCACACATCTCAGGAGGTTTCGAGGCTGACGTTTGGTAACTCGAACTTTCAGCTCCCTCCACAGATTTTCTATGGGATTAAGATCTGAAGACTGGCTAGGCCACTCCAGGACCTTAATGTGCTTCTTCTTGAGCCACTTCTTTGTTGCCGTGGCCGTGTGTTTTGGGTCATTGTCATGCTGGAATACCCATCCACGACCCATTTTCATAGCCCTGGCTGAGGGAAGGAGGTTCTCACCCAAGATTTGACGGTACATGGCCCCGTCCATCGTCCCTTTGATGCAGTGAAGTTGTCCTGTCCCCTTAGCAGAAAAACACCCCCAAAGCATAATGTTTCCACCTCCATGTTTGACGGTGGGGATGGTGTTCTTGGGGTCATAGGCAGCATTCCTCCTCCTCCAAACACGGCGAGTTGAGTTGATGCCAAAGAGCTCCATTTTTGGTCTCATCTGACCACAGCACTTTCACCCAGTTGTCCTTTGAATCATTCAGATGTTCATTGGCAAACTTCAGACGGGCATGTATATGTGCTTTCTTGAGCAGGGGGACCTTGCGGGCGCTGCAGGATTTCAGTCCTTCACGGTGTAGTGTGTTACTAATTGTTTTCTTGGTGACTATGGTCCCAGCTGCCTTGAGATCATTGACAAGATCCTCCCGTGTAGTTTTGGGCTGATTCCTCACCGTTCTCATGATCATTGCAACTCCACGAGGTGAGATCTTGCATGGAGCCCCAGGCCGAAGGAGATTGACAGTTCTTTTGTGTTTCTTCCATTTGCGAATCATCGCACCAACTGTTGTCACCTTCTCACCAAACTGCTTGGCAATGGTCTTGTAGCCCATTCCAGCCTTGTGTAGGTTTACAATCTTGTCCCTGACATCCTTGGAGAGCTCTTTAGTCTTGGCCATGGTGGAGAGTTTGGAATCTGATTGATTGATTGCTTCTGTGGACAGGTGTCTTTTATACAGGTAACAAGCTGAGATTAGGAGCACTCCCTTTAAGAGTGTGCTCCTAATCTCAACTCGTTACCTGTATAAAAGACACCTGGGAGCCAGAAATCTTTCTGATTGAGAGGGGGTCAAATACTTATTTCCCTCATTAAAATGCAAATCAATTTATAACATTTTTGACATGCGTTTTTCTAGATTTTCTTGTTGTTATTCTGTCTCTCACTGTTCAAATAAACCTTCCATTAAAATTATAGACTGATAATTTATTTGTCAGTGGGCAAACGTACAAAAATCAGCAGGGGATCAAATACTTTTTTCCCCTCACTGTAGTTGCGATGTGGCCGAACGAACTTCCTCTGTGGTTCTCGTTCTCTGAGCGGCCACTATCGCTGCTGCTGCTGCTGCTTCGCTCAGCCTCAATCCCAAGATCACTTGCCACTGCGCCTGATTCCTTCCACGGAAGTTGTTGTTTTTTTACGTCAGCCGGATCAGTCCAGAACGCTGTGACCCGAGTTCGATTCCCGCTCACCGCCAGCACCAGTGACGAGTATCTGAACCGGTCCTGGCCTTCCCCGAGGCCAACTTAGCCTCAAATGAGTACCTGGTACTGGCGCGTAAAAAAACATCGCCATTCGGGAGATAAAGGCGGCCGGGCGTGGTGCCGTAGCCTGGTCTTCATAGGTGCTGCTCACTAACAGCACTTGCCCCAACAGTCTCTTAAGGCTACACGGGGGATCTTTGTCTTTTTGGTGGTGTGTAAAACACGTGCATTAAGATTTTAGGAAGATATGATTTGATGATATACATATATTATTGGTAATTATGTATATTGTACTATTATAATGAGCGTTTGCACTCTAGTGGTAGTGCCTTACGCCAAACAATACTCGGTACTATACTCTTTGGTTCTATTCGGTAAAGTCACGTAGGTAAAAAAATAAAACAACAAAAATCACGACGTTTCGGCCACAACACAAGCAGCCTTCATCAGGTGAAGGGACCAGGCTGTCTCGAGGACAGCGCTAGAGTGAAACACAGCCACGCTCAGACCACGACCTTTAAGCTGTGTGCGAGGAAACAAGGTGCCTTGACAAAGGAATTAGCATAAAAATGAGCATTTGATTGGCCGACTTAGCATGATGAACGGTGTAGAGGTGGTGTACATGCGGGTGAACATGCCGGTTGGCGCAAGGGGGAGGGGGAGTTTACCTATTGATGGTATGAAAAGGGAATTTTTAAGAGCTGCGAAAGTTTGGGGTACCACTACTTGAAAAATTATACTGTACCATTGAAAATTAGTTTAATGTTTGGTTCGATTTAGAACATCTTTCCAATGGTTGCTTAATTTGAAACCATCTTCTCGGTTGAAATTGTGTCTGTGTTTGTAGATCTGAATTGCCTCGTGAACAAATCTCTGATAAAAACCCGTGGGTTTGCAAAGAACCTTGGTATCGGAGAAAATTATATCGTGATCACCCACAGCGTTGTAACAGTGATCAGCTACGGCAGAATAATTCGTTCTGCCGTGTTTCAAATCTGATTTGTGCTCGCGAATTCGGTCAGAGACATGTCGCTTTGTCTCCCCGATATAGCAATCACCGCAGGTACAACTCAATTTGTAAAACCCGGGGTACTGTAAGTCAGGGATGACATCCTTCACGGTTGGGATCAGATCACGAATTTTATGTACTGTATTGAACCGGACCTGGATCTTGTGTTTGTTTAGAATTTTGGAAATCTTTTTAGTAACGACTGCTATATATGGTAGTGTGATGGTTTTGACCGGAGTATCAAGTGTTTTTTTTCTGTATGGAGGGAGAAACAGCTTGGCGGATGGTACGGTCAGAGTATCCATTCCTTTTGAGGGCCAGGTGTACATGTTTTAATTCACTGGTCAGGTGGTGTTGGTCCGAAATGAAACGAGCCCTATTGTATAAAGTTTTGATGAGATCATTATTTTGATCTGGGTGGTGGTGGGAATCAAGCTTCAAGTAGGAATCCGTGTGGGTGGGTTTCCTGTAGACAGAATGCCCCAATGAGCCATCAGGTCTCCTCTCAAACAGAACATCCAAGAATGGTAGCTTGCCATTTTTCTCCACTTCTATAGTGCATTTTATGGCGGGATGTCTGGAATTGATGTGGTGTAGCAAAAGGTTCAGAGCTGGGATGCCATGTGGCCAAATGACGAAAGTGTCATCTACATATCTCTTCCACAGGGAAGGTCTGAGGGTGGAAGTCTGGATGGTGTCCGATTCAAATTTCTCCATGAAAACATTGGCTATCACTGGTGACAAGGGGGAACCCATGGGAGTACCCTCATTTTGTTTGTAGAAGGAGCAATTCCAAGTGAAGTAGGTGTTGGTGAGGCAGTGCCTGACCAGCGTAGGTACCTCGGGGTTTAGTCCATGTTGTACCAGCTTAAAGGTCGCGGTCTGAGCGTGGCTGTGTTTCACTCCAGCGCTGTCCTCGAGACAGCCTGGTCCCTTCACCTGATGAAGGCCGCTTGTGTTGTGGCCGAAACGTCGTGATTTTTGTTGTTTAATTTTTTTTTACCTACGTGACTTTACCGAATAGAACCAAAGAGTATGGATCCTTGCAGTCACGAAAGCTTCAAATCTAGAATACTCGGTACTTTACACCATGCCTAGCAGCGTCCTGCAGAAAATATCGCGTGAGCAATGAAGCCTCGCTTTCACGTGATAAACCGCTGTCGTTATCGTTCTGTTTCTTCTGCCACCTCTAGAGCCAATCACCTTCCTCCTGGAGAACAAGACGGGTGGCCAATGCCTGACCGTGCAGAGTCGAGCGCTGAAGTGGGTGCCGTGTGACCCCAAGGTCACGGGACAGCACTGGCTCTGGGGCTCCACCGAGAACCTCATAAGCGCGTCCCAGACCCCCGAGGATCGAGGCCTCTGCCTCACCGCCACGGCGCTCAAGAAGAGCGCGGCTGTAAGTCAACGGAGGGAGGGGGCGGGGGGTGGACAAACTGGCAGGAGGAAAGCGGCGATGGCGATGTTGTTTGTGTCGGTGGGGAGCGGTAGGTGTAGCGGTTAGCGCGCTGCGCTACGAACCTGACCACCCGGGTTCGATTCCCGCTCACGGCCAACACCGGTGACGATTATCTGAACCGGTTCTGGGCCTCCCCTAGGTCGACTCAGCCTGAAATGAGTACCTGGTGCGGTGTGTAAACATCGCCACTGGGGAGACAAAGGCGGTCGGGCGTGGTGCTGGCCACCCACCCCCTCGTGTACCGTTCCGGCCTTCATATGTGCTCGCTAACAGCACTTGCCCCTACAGTCTGTTAAGGCTATACGGGGGGTCTTTGGTGGCGTCAGTGGCAGCAGTGCGAAGGTCGAGATGGAGTCCTCCTCGGCACGGTGCCCCCCACCCCCGACGCCTTCAAACTAAATCAGAACTATGACATCTGACACCGTGAAGTCGAAGCGCCCCCCCCCCTCCGTGGGGAAGGCTCAGCCTGCAGACACCGCTCTCGACAGTTTCACTCTGACAACCACGTGGCCTTCGATCCTCTCAAGGAGAGCCATCATCTGTAGCATCCCCGTGATCACGGCGGTGATTATAACACTGCTGTTGCTGCCGCTGCTGCAACTGATGGTGGCGGAGGTGATGACGTTGCTTCTGCTCTTGCTGCTACTGATAATAATAATCATAGAGAACATTATGGCTGTGACAATGATGGATGTTGCTGCTGTTGACGGCAATACAAATGACGACACCGCTGCTACTGCCGCTGCCGCCGCTGCTGCTGCCGCTGCGTGTAGGTGTCGGTGGAGCGGTGCTCTGTGGCCCAGGAGAGCCAGCAGCAGTGGCAGTGTCGCGACAGCGAGCTGATGGCGGCCAAAAAGCACGTGCTGTCCGTGACGATGCAGAACGGGCAGCTGGTCCTGGGCCGCACGGGGGGCGTCAGCTGGAGGATCCACGGCTCGGAGCAGACTCCCTGCAGCGTCCAGCATCAACGTGGGTGGTTGACCAACCTCCCACAAACCCGCAAAGCCACGGCCCATCGCTGCCAACCGCCGCTCAGAATCATTAAAAAAAACACTTTAATGAGACTGCAAGGCGTGGGATCCGATGAGCTATGAAGCTCGTGTATCCACAGATGCCCAGTATGGGCGCGGTCAGCGAGTTAAAACGGCAAACGACAACAAACCCCGATAGGAGTGCGAAATCGAGAAAATGGTGAGAAAGTCACGAAAGATAAATACAGAATAAATAAAGTTCAACCAAGTCCGCTTTGTCAAGCTTGGGCAAGGCAGCAAAAACAGCAACAACAACAACAACGGGTCCCAGATCACACCAAGATAACCCCACACAGTAGATGTAGTCCCTCAATACAATGGCCACATGCACATTGAACTATCGATACACGGGTAATGATCAAAGTTACAAAGCACATTCGCAAATGCGATCGCTGTATCCAGCACAAATCTCCTGCTTCAGGATGGAACCACTAGGGGTCCGTCCATAAATGACGTCACGCACCTGGGGGGGGGGGGCTCAGACATTTGTGAGGATGTGTGACGAGGGCGGGGGGGGGGGTTGAGAAATATGACGTCACATCAAAATGCACCAACTTTAAATAAATACAGACAACACGTTCTACTTAATTAAATATACTTTATAATAAATGTTTTCTCCTACAACATCAGAGTGCAGCGCCACATTAAGTACGCACTACAATGACAATAGTTTAAAGCGATTTGCAGCATGTTTCATTTTTTTTAGGGGGGGGGGGAGCAGACCTTTGTGACGTCATATTTGAGGGGGTCTGACTTTTTGTGACGCCGTATGACGAGGGGGGGGGGGTAAAAAAATCGTCCAAAATCGCGTGACGTCATTTATGGACGGTCCCTAAGTCGCCAACCACAACCAGCCATTATAGAAGTGTTTTGGGGTTAGATCGCGTAAATAAATATATAATGCGTCGTTGAACCCGCTGCGACCCGACACAGCCAATAGGCAAGGTTTGTCACGTAAACAACACGTGACAATTAGTTACTGCTTCAGCACACCGCCTGTGTGTTGGAGAGTAAACCCACAAATTGGCTGCGTCGGGCGGTGGCTGGGTTACCGACACTTTTATATTCAGGCGATCTAGCCCCAAAACACTTTCATTATGAGAAACAGCAGCAGCAGTAGCAGCAGTAGCTGTAGCTGTAGCAGTAGCTGTAGCTGCAGCAGTAGCAGCTGTAGCTGTAGCTGCAGCAGTAGCAGCTGTAGCTGTAGCAGCAGCAGTAGCAGCAGCAGTAGCTGTAGCTGCAGCAGTAGCAGCTGTAGCTGTAGCTGCAGCAGCAGCAAGCAGCAGCAGTAGCAGCAGTAGCTGTAGCTGCAGCAGTAGCAGCTGTAGCAGCTGTAGCAGCAGTGGCTGTAGCTGCAGCAGTAGCAGCTGTAGCAGCTGTAGCAGCAGTAGCTGTAGCTGCAGCAGTAGCAGCTGTAGCTGCTAATGCAGCTGCAGCTACAGCTGCTGCTGCGGGATCTGGCGGAGGGCAGAGACCGTTGTTGTTGGCGCGGTGGGCTCCTGGCATTGGTTCCGACTAAACTATAAAACTATTTTTTTATTTAAAGCTTTCGTGACTGCAGGGATTCATCTTCTTGGTTCTTTCGGTAAAGTCACGTAGAAGGGAAATAATAAAACATTAAATACAACATTTTATTTATTTTGATTAAACTATTGTTTTTTTTATATTCTTGGTTCTTTCGGTAAAGTCCACAGAACAAAAGAATGATTAACTTAGCCCCACACCCCACCAATGTCCCCCACTTGCCCCCCCCCCCCCACCCCCCTTAACCTGTATTTAAGCTCGAGGCTCTCAGAGCCTCCCCACTTGATCAGCGATCTTGCTGTGACTGTCCCACCTGAAGACGGAAGCTTGTGTTGCCTCCGAAACGTCGTGAGAATTTTTATTTTATTTTTATTATTATTTTATCCCCATTCTACGTGGTGATCTTACCGAAATAACCAAGAAGATGGTCCCCTCCATGTGCAGCCCCCCACGTGCCCCTCCCCTCCATGTGCAGCCCCCCCCGTGCCCCTCCCCTCCTACCCCCGCGTCTCACCCCCCGTGCCCCTCCCCTCCTACCCCCGCCCCCCCCGTGCCCCTCCCCTCCTACCCCCGCCCCCCATGCCCCTCCCCTCCTACCTTCGGCCCCCCGTGCCCCTCCCCTCCTACCCCCGCCCCCCCGTGCCCCTCCCCTCCTACCCCCGCGTCTCACCCCCCATGCCCCTCCCCTCCTACCCCCGCCCCCCCGTGCCCCTCCCCTCCTACCCCCGCGTCTCACCCCCCATGCCCCTCCCCTCCTACCCCCGCGTCTCACCCCCCGTGCCCCCCCTGGGGACGGCTCTCCCGCGCCCCCCTCCCCTTCCACCCCGCGTGGCCGTTGGCCAGCGCGCGTTCTGATTGGCTGCAGCCCCCACGTGGGGGCTGTGGGTAGCTAGGGTGGGGGCTGTGGGTAGGGGGGTTGGGGGCTGTGGGTAGGGGGGGGGGCTGTGGGTAGGGGGGGCTGTGGGTGGGGGGGAATGTGGGTAGGTTGGGTGGGGGCTGTGGGTAGGTGGGGTGGGGGCTGTGGGTAGGTGGGGTGGGGGCTGTGGGTAGGTGGGGGCTGTGGGTGGGGGGGAATGTGGGTAGGTGGGGTGGGGGCTGTGGGTAGGTGGGGTGGGGGCTGTGGGTACTCTTTGCGGTACATGTGCAGTAGGTGGCCATCATTGGTCATTAGCAGGACCGTATCAACAGCGGCTTTGGCCAACGACGACGTCTCGGATCCTGCGTGTCCCATTAGCGCGGCTCGAGACGATTTTTTGCTGCTGCCATCGACAAAATATAAAAAACCACGGGGGGCCACGTGAAATCAAATCGCGGACCACGGGTCCCCCCCCTCCACCCCCCCCCCCCCCCCTCTCTCTCACGCTTGAATGTCTCTGCGCGTCCGTCGGTTGCCGTCTCGCCCGTGACAGCGGTGTCCACGCTGTTCGGCACGGGCAAAGGGCAGCCCTGCCACCTGCCCTACCGGTACAAAGGCAAGTGGTACGTGGGCTGCACAACCGAGGACAACGGCAAGCTGCCGTGGTGCGCCACGACGCTCGAGTACGACCAGGACAAGCTGTGGGGAAACTGTCCGACGGCGTGTGAGTGCGTGCCGAGCGGCCCGCTCACTCGGAGCACAGAGACACTCACAGAGACACTCACAGAGACACGCAGAGAGACACGCAGAGAGACACACAGAGAGACACTCACAGAGACACACAGAGAGACACGCAGAGAGACACACAGAGAGACACTCACAGAGACACACAGAGAGACACACAGAGACACACAGAGAGACACTCACAGAGACACTCACAGAGACACACAGAGAGACACACAGAGAGACACACAGAGAGACACTCACAGAGACACACAGAGAGACACACAGAGAGACACACAGAGAGACACTCACAGAGACACACAGAGAGACACACAGAGAGACGCACAGAGAGACACACAGAGACACACAGAGAGACACTCACAGAGACACACAGAGAGACACACAGAGACACACAGAGAGACACTCACAGAGACACTCACAGAGACACACAGAGAGACACACAGAGAGACACGCAGAGAGCCGCTCAAACACACGGAGACACAGCGAGACACTTAAACACATAGACACACAGCGAGACACTTAAACACATAGACACCCAGCGAGACACTCAAACACATAGACACACTGCGAGACACTCAAACACACAGACACACAGCGAGACACTCAAACACATAGACACACAGCGAGACACTCAAACACACAGACACATAGCGAGACACTTAAACACACAGACACACAGCGAGACACTCAAACACACAGATACACAGCGAGACACTCAAACACACGGAGACACACAGCGAGACACTCAAACACACAGACACACAGCGAGACACTCAAACACACGGAGACACACAGCGAGACACTCAAACACATAGACACACAGCGAGACACTCAAACACATAGACACACAGCGAGACACTCAAACACATAGACACACAGCGAGACACTCAAACACATAGACACAGCGAGACACTCAAACACACAGCGAGACACTCAAACACACGGAGACACACGGAGACACACAGACACACAGCGAGACACTGAAACACACGGAGACACACAGACACACAGCGAGACACTGAAACACACGGAGACACACAGACACACAGCGAGACACTGAAACACACGGAGACACACAGACACACAGCGAGACACACAGACACACAGCGAGACACTGAAACACACAGAGACACACAGACACACAGCGAGACACACAGACACACAGCGAGACACTGAAACACACGGAGACACACAGACACACAGCGAGACACTGAAACACACAGAGACACACAGACACACAGCGAGACACACAGACACACAGCGAGACACTGAAACACACAGAGACACACAGACACACAGCGAGACACTGAAACACACAGACACACAGCGAGACACTGAAACACACAGAGACACGCAGAGAGCTGCTCAAACATACGCTGACTCCGTTGTTCAATCACACCCGATCACTCACAAACTCACTTGACTCCCCATTCACTCAATTACTCACGCAACCACTCATTCATTCAATTACCCCTCAACACAGCCGCTCTCTGAACCCTTGTCGTGCACGCACTCTCTGAACTACCCACTCAACCAGTGACTCGGTCGTACGAACACAGAGACCACCACCCCCCTCCCCCTCTGTATGTCATACACGCCAACTTCGTCACACTCACTCATTCGCACGCTTACCGAACCACTTAATCAATCATCTGATGACTCGATCACGCCCATTCAAGCAAACGCATTCCCAAACACTCAGTAACCTGACTGCTCATTCACCCCCCGTTGTAGCCTATAACAGGTTGTAGGGGCAAGTGCTGTTAGCGAGCGCCTATGAAGGCACGGCACACGAGGGGGTAGGTGGCCAACACCATGCCCGGCCGCCTTTGTCTCCCTAGTGGCAATGTTTACACATCGCACCAGGTACTAATTTGAGGCTGAGTCGACCTATGGGAGGCCCATGACCCGTTCAGATAATCGTCACCGGTGTTGGCCGTGAGCGGGAAATCGAACCCGGGTGGACTGGCAGCGTAGCGCTAACCGCTACACCACCGCTCCCCACAACTCAACCCCCCACACCAACTCACTAACATGCGCGCGTGTTCCCGTCCCCCGCGTGTGCCCACCACCCCCTGCCCCCCGTGCCCTCCGCCAGTGCCCGCAGAGGACGACGGCTGTCCGCAGCTCTGGAAGCTGGAGGCGGCGTCGCGCGCGTGCGTGCAGGTGAACGAGGGCGCGCGCCTCACCTGGCACGAGGCACGCGCCAGCTGTGTTCTGCAGGGCTCCGAGCTATTGAGTGTCGAGGGGGAGTGCGAGGCCATGTACTTCGCCGGTGAGACTTCACGCACGCGCACGCACGCACGTGCACGCATGCACGCACGCACGCGCACGCACGCACAAACGCACTCGAAAGGAGAAAGATTCCCCAAACGTTTTTTTTTTTCAGTTTACATTTATTAGGTAGAGCCCTGTGAGCCATGCGGCTCTTGACTCGGGTGCAACCGCAACAAAACAAAAACATGAATAAGGAAACATCTTAAAGTGACTACACGCAACATAAAAAAAACGTATAGCCTTAACAGACTCACACGGTGGCGAGATGATGTTAACTACCTCGCCTGGTGTACAGGAGGTCGTGGGTACGATCCCGACCCTGACGCCTGCTGCTGCTGCTGTATATTTGGAGTTTGCGTGTTTTTCTCCCCGTGGTCGCGTGGATTTTTCTCCGGGGCCTCAGGTGTTTCCCTCCACATTTATAAACAACTTCACGCGTTTAGAGTATTTTTGGCTGCTATATATTTCCATGTACTAAGCCACTTTGTTGAGACCAGGTCGCTTCTGAAAAAGAGCTAAATAGCTCAGTGGGCCTTACCTGGAATTTTTTTTTTTAAGTTTAAAATACTTAATAGACTGCTGGGGAAAGTGCTCTTAGCGGGCATGGCACACGAATCGGGGTGGGAAGCCAGCACCACGCACGGCCCCATGTGTCTCCCCACTGCTGCTGATTTATACACACCGCCAACAAGTACTCGTTTAAGGCTGAGTCGACCTAGGGGAAGGCCCTTGGCCGGTTCAGATATTCGTCCCTGTTGTTGTTCGCGCGGTGCAAACATTCCACCCCATCCATCCTCCGATTAGCACGGTTGGCTACGTACGGTGCGAAAGAAGTTCAGCATACATCAACATACATACATACATCCGCCCACTCGTTCACACATGCAGGCACAATTCCATTCAGAGATACCTTTCGGAATTGTAACAAATTGCGTAACCGATTTTCGGATTTATCACGATATTATTTTTGGGAATTTCACTTATTTCACACTCACTCTTTCCAAAATGCACTGCGCTCATTCACTCGCCCACCCACCCACCCGCTCGCACCATCTGGAACTCGGGGGGCTTCTCTGCCATCTCTCACCGGCGGCAAAGGTGGCAACCCGCAACGGCCGTGCGATTTTCACACGCGGTTGGGTCCAAGCGGACCCGCGTCGTCCTCGGTTGGTCCCTCGGAACGTCGACGGTGGTGCCAACGTCGCCCACCACTGCGATGTGTGAATTAGGGGGGGGGGTCGACATTGTGGACGGCTGTACGCGATGGACGGGAGTACGTGATGGACGGGAGTACGTGATGGACGGGAGTAGGTGATGGGCGGGAGTACGTGATGGACGTGAGTACGTGATGGGCGAGAGTACGTGATGGGCGGGAGTAGGTGATGGACGAGAGTACGTGATGGACGAGAGTAGATGATGGACGAGAGTACGTGATGGACGGGAGTACGTGATGGACGAGAGTAGATGATGGACGAGAGTACGTGATGGACGGGAGTACGTGATGGACGGGAGTACGTGATGGACGAGAGTACGTGATGGACGGGAGTACGTGATAGACGGGAGTACGTGATGGACGGGAGTACGTGATGGACGGGAGTACGTGATGGACGAGAGTACGTGATGGACGGGAGTACGTGATGGACGGGAGTACGTGATGGACGGGAGTACGTGATGGGCGGGAGTAGGTGATAGACGAGAGTACGTGATGGACGGGAGTACGTGATGGGCGTGAGTACGTGATGGGCGGGAGTACATGATGGACGGGAGTACGTGATGGGCGGGAGTAGGTGATGGGCGAGAGTACGTGATGGACGGGAGTACGTGATGGGCGGGAGTACGTGATGGCCCGAACAGAGTGTTGATGTACGAAAGAAGTTCAACACACATGCAGACGCGTGCGTACATTGATGCAGGTTGAACTTCTTTCGCGCCGTACATAGCCGACCGTGCTAATCGGAGGTGCCGGGGGAAGGACGTCAAACGAAGCACATACACAACAAAACGGTTCTCAAGAAACGAGTTTTAAATTTAGGAGTGAGTTCCAGCCATCGCTCCCTCCCTCCGTTCGCTGCCTCCCCTCCCTCCCGCAGGGGCGATGCTGGGGAAGGAATCCCTCTTCTGGATGGGGCTCAACCGCCTCAACGCGGCCGGCGCGTGGCAGTGGAGCGACGGCCGAGCGCTGACGCGCGTGCACTGGGAGTCGGGTGAGGCCCTGGGGCTCGGGGACCCGGCGGGGTGGACAGCGATAGGCGGGGGGGGGCGTGTGGGGTTACGTGGGGAGCGGGGCGTGTAGGTGCACGGACACATGGGAGCAACTGTGAATGGTAACGATGATGATGATGTTATTAATGTGATGATGCTGTTCTCGGCGATGGTGGTGACGATGGTGATGATGATGATGCCGATGACGGTGATTATGGTGGTGCTGTTGTTGGTGGTGATGATGATCGTGGTTATGATGATGGTGATGATGGTGGTGGTGATGGTGATGATGAGAGTAGTGATGATGATGGCAATCGTGATGCTAATGGCGGTGATGGTAGTGGTGATGATGACGGTGATAACAGTGATGATGATGGTAATAATGATGCTGCTGATGATGATGATGGTGGTGGTCGTGGCGATAATTCCTTTGTTGTCACCCCCAGAGCCGCCCACGAGTGACGAGGAGGGGAGTTGCGTGGTGATGAACCCGGAGTCGCACGGCTTGTGGAAGGTGGTGCGCTGCACGGAGAAGCTGCCCTACGTCTGCTACCAGCGCCTGCCCGAAGCAGCGACCAACGCCACCGCGCCCAGCCTCCCACCCCGTGAGAGACGCACAGACACGCAGACACGCGGGCACACAGACGCACGCGTAGACAGACAGGCAGACGAAACATACGGACGGGCAAACATACGGATGCACACACGAGCGTCAGTATGAGAGAGAGAGCCATGCACGTAGGGGCAGAGAGACGGACGGATGCGCGGACGCGCGGGTCGACCAAGGAACGTACGAACGGGCGCACAGGCGGACGGACCAACGGACCCAAGGCTGAACAGATGTGAACAGGCAGACACGTGAACAGATGGACATGTTAACAGATGGACATGTGAACAGATGGTCATGTGAACAGATGGACATGTGAACAGATGGACATGTGAACAGATGAAAATGTGAACAGACATACACGTGAACAGATGGACATGTGTAACAGATGGACATGTGAACAGATGGACATGTGAACAGATGAACATGTGAACAGACATACACGTGAACAGATGGACATGTGAACAGATGGACATGTGAACAGATGGACGGACAATTCTTTGGGTGGATGGACAGACGGATGGATAAATGGACAGACGGACTGACGGACGATCAAGTAGTTAAACAGGCTGGTGGAAAGTCTGACATATACATACACGCAGACGGAAAGGTGGAGCTGAGAGTAACGATGCTCCGATGCTGCGCTGGTGCTGCTGATGCTCACGATGCCGATAATGCTAATGATGCTCATGATGTTGATGATGCTCATGATGCCGATGATGCCCATGATGCCGATGATGCTCATGATGCCGATGATGCTCATGATGCCGATGATGCCCATGATGCCGATGATGCTCATGATGTTGATGATGCTCATGATGCCGATGATGCTGATGATGCTCATGATGTTGATGATGCTCATGATGCCGATGATGCTTGTGATGCCTATGACGATGATGCTCATGATGATGCTCATGATGCCGATGATGCTCATGATGCCGATGATGCCCATGATGCCGATGATGCCCATGATGCCGATGATGCTCATGATGTTGATGATGCTCATGATGCCGATGATGCTGATGATGCTCATGATGTTGATGATGCTCATGATGCCGATGATGCTCGTGATGCCTATGACGATGATGCTCATGATGATGCTCATGATGATGCCAATGTTGCCTCTGGCACGTGGCAGCTGTTCTCGCCAACGCCACGTGCCCGCGCGGCTGGAGCGCGCACGGAGCCGCGTGCTTCCGCGCGCAGCCGACGGTGCTCGTCACGTGGCACGAGGCGCGTGCCGCGTGCGTGCGCGACGGCGCCGAGCTCGCGCGCCTGAGCAACGAGGACGAGCACGACTTCGTGAGCACGCGACTCGCGCCTGGTAACACACACACACACACACACAGACAAAGATCCCCCGTATAGCCTTGACAGATTGTAGGGGCAAGTGCTGTTAGCGAGCACCTATGAAGAGGCCGGAATGGTGCACGAGGGGGTGGGTGGACAGCACCACGCCCGGCCGCCTTTGTCTCCCCAGTGGCGATGTTTACACACCGGCACCAGGTACTCATTTGAGGCTGAGTCGACCTAGCGGAGGCCCAGGACCGGTTCAGATAATCGTCACCGGTATTGGCCGTGAGCGGGAATCGAACCCGGGTCGCCAGGTTCGTAGCGCAGCGCGGGTTGCTGAGGAGATGGAGTCTGCCCCATTAGCCCGCGATCACAAATGACTCTTTAACTCCATCAAAAAAGTAACTTGCAGCACCACACCTATCAGCATCATTATGGGAAAGAAATGTTGATCCGATCTCCGACCCGCAGGAACAGGTTTTCCGATTTGCTGAGCATTTCTGAGGTCTTGGGGGAAGGCAAATCCCTCAGCCTGGAAAACATCACGGGGAAAAGTGGGGATGACCCTGCTGAGGCTGTGGTGCCTCATATATTGGAATAAGTTTGACAGCAGAGGTCTCACTCCGAATTAGTCGAGCAGCATTATCTTTTCACCAGCTGCGTCATGCTGCATGGAAGCTACCTGGTCTGTCGCTTCACAAGAAGCTTCGGGTCTTCTCGCCACGATCATGCCCTCTCTTCTCTATGCTTGCGAAAAGTGGACGCCCCTAATGGAACATCTTGGCCGGTTAGAAACATTTTGGCCAGCCTGCCTACGATCCATCCTGGGTTTAATCTGCAGGCTGGATTGTGTGAGCTTAAAAATCCTTGAAAGATCTGGGCAAGGTCCCATCGGTGAGCTCCTCCGGCAGGCAAGGCTGCGTTGGCTAGGTCATGGAGCCCGCATGCCCAGCCACCGCATGCCGAAACAGCTTTTGTTCTGCTGGATAGAGGGGCCTAAACGGCTGGCGCACAGGCTAAATAGGAGATGGAGTGATGTAGTATAACTGGATTTGGAGCGTTTGTGGACTTGCCAATGATTGGTACCAGCGGTGTCAAAATCAGCCTCTGTGGAGGAGGCTCGTGAAGGACGCTGTTACTGGGCAGTTGGAGGTAGTCGCCCTCCAGCAACAATGGAGGGCGGAGGAGCGACGCTCACAACATTGAGCGGAGCGCCGGGCGGCTAAAACACAGCAGGTTGTCACAGTAGGGGACACAGGTGGTGCATTGGCCAGTCATCTCACTCAGTCAACCCATGGAACCTGGCTCTGTCCCGTGACCTCCTGCCAGTGGGCGTTTGACACTTCACGTGGCCTTAAAGTGCACATGGCCTTAAAGTGCACATGGCTTGGCACAGGCGACGTGGTGACGTCACCGCCATTTAGTGGCGAATGGCGGTTGTTGTTGTTGGTGGTGGTGATGATGGTGGCAGTGGTGATGATAGTAATGTTGGCGTTCGTGGTGATGTTGCTTGTGGCGGCGATGATGGTGACGTTGGCGGTGGTGGTGGTTGTGGTGGTGATGGTGGTGGTGGTGGTGGTGTTGTTGTTGTCACCCAGAGGACGACTCCTTGCTGTGGATCGGCCTGAGTGCGTCGGGCCCTGGTGCTGCGTTCGCTTGGTCCGACGGGAGCCCCGTGACCCTCACGGTCTGGGACCGCTCCCAACCCAGCCGCGGAGACCGCTCGCCCGCCACCTGCGTCTACCTGTCGGAACAGGTACTGCTCCCCTCCCCCCGCCCGCCCACACACAACACCGATCCCATACAGGTGTCTCGTACGATGTCACCTGCTCCAGCGGTTTCTGTCTACACTTCTACAGTCTCGCCTGCGTCTCGGCCAGCGCCATTGCGCTACGATCCTCGCAACCCGAGTTCTCTTCAATACAATTGCCGATTATCTCAACCGATCCTGGGTCGACTCGGGCCTCAAATGAGTACCTGGTGCGGAGTGTAGTAAACATTGCCATTGGAGAGACAAAGTCGTTTGGGCGTGGTGCTGGCCACCCACCCCTAGTGTCCGGTGCCCAGCCTTCATAGGTGCTGCTCGCTAGCGTCACTCGCCCCGAAAGTCTGCGAAGGTTATAGCGAGGGTGGGGGGGGGGGTGTCTGTGTCTTTTGTGTTCTTTATGTCACCCGTTGATCGTTGTGTGCTTGCACCGCCTCTCCTCTCAGAGCCGCCGCTGGAGCGACGCGCCGTGCAACCTCCCCAGGGGCTACGTCTGCAGGAGGCCGATCATCCCGGACGGCGTGCGCCCCACGGACAGCCCCAATTGCCAGCCGGTGCGTGTGCCTCCGCGCTAGCAGCTGCACCAGCACCAGCGGCTAGCACCCTCCAGGCCAGAGCAGGCTGGAGGCGCACCAGCGGGCAGCAGCAGTAGCACCACAACCACCGTCGGTCTTTCCCTTCGCTCGTACGGCCGATGATGTCGATGCAGAGAGCATCGACTACGGTTTCACGCGCAGGTGGTCAAGCCAGCAGATGACCGCGTCGGGAGCGGCGGAGTGCGTCGTCGCTGCGATGTCTCCTTCGTATTTGTGGATCGGGGGCAATGCGGCGTGAAACGTTGTCCCGGCTGTTCTGGATGACCGCAGTCGCCACACTGCTACTGGGGAGTTCGCTGCCATGGTTTGTGTGGATGCGATTTAGGGTAGATCATGAGCTTAGTGGAAAATCAAACCCAGCGATATTCTTGACAACTTTGCTACCGCCACCCACACTCCGTGCCCCCTCCCCTGCGCCCCCCCCAACTTCTCCACCCCCCTTCAACCACGCCCCCCCCCCGCCCCCAGGGCTGGGTGATGGGCCCCCACTCGTGTTACTGGGTGGGGGCAGAGAAGGCGGAGTCATTCACCGGCGCCTTCAACGTGTGCCGTCGTCACAACGCAACGCTGGTTTCCATCACGAGCAGGCGAGTACCGGCCCTGCCTCCAACTCTAGCACCAGCACCAACACTAGCACCAGCACCAACACCAACACTAGCACCAGCACCAACACTAGCCCTAGCACCAACACTAGCCCTAGCACCAACACTAGCCCTAGCACCAGCACCAACACTAGCCCTAGCACCAACACTAGCCCTAGCACCAGCACTAGCCCTAGCACCAGCACCAACACTAGCCCTAGCACCAGCACCAACACTAGCACCAGCACCAACACTAGCCCTAGCACCAGCACCAACACTAGCCCTAGCACCAACACCAACACTAGCCCTAGCACCAACACTAGCCCTAGCCCTAGCACCAACACCAACACTAGCCCTAGCACCAACACTAGCCCTAGCCCTAGCACCAACACCAACACTAGCCCTAGCACCAATACCAACACTAGCCCTAGCACCAGCACCAACACTAGCCCTAGCACCAGCACTAACACTAGCCCTAGCACCAACACCAACACTAGCCCTAGCACCAGCACCAACACTAGCACTAGCACCAACACTAGCCCTAGCACCAACACTAGCCCTAGCACCAACACCAACACTAGCCCTAGCACCAGCACCAACACTAGCCCTAGCACCAACACCAACACTAGCCCTAGCACCAACACTAGCCCTAGCACCAACACTAGCCCTAGCACCAATACCAACACTAGCCCTAGCACCAGCACCAACACTAGCCCTAGCACCAACACCAACACTAGCCCTAGCACCAGCACCAACACTAGCACTAGCACCAGCACCAACACTAGCCCTAGAACCAGCACCAACACTAGCCCTAGCACCAACACCAACACTAGCCCTAGCACCAACACTAGCCCTAGCACCAATACCAACACTAGCCCTAGCACCAGCACCAACACTAGCCCTAGCACCAACACCAACACTAGCCCTAGCACCAACACTAGCCCTAGCACCAATACCAACACTAACCCTAGCACCAGCACCAACACTAGCCCTAGCACCAACACCAACACTAGCCCTAGCACCAACACCAACACTAGCCCTAGCACCAGCACCAACACTAGCCCTAGCACCAACACCAACACTAGCCCTAGCACCAACACTAGCCCTAGCACCAATACCAACACTAGCCCTAGCACCAGCACCAACACTAGCCCTAGCACCAACACCAACACTAGCCCTAGCACCAACACTAGCCCTAGCACCAATACCAACACTAACCCTAGCACCAGCACCAACACTAGCCCTAACCCTAGCACCGACACCAACACTAGCCCTAGCACCAACACTAGCCCTAGCACTAAGACTAGCCCTAGCACCAACACTAGCCCTAGCACCAACACCAACACTAGCCCTAGCACCAACACTAGCCCTAGCACTAAGACTAGCCCTAGCACCAACACTAGCCCTAGCACCAACACCAACACTAGCACCAACACCAACACTCGCCCTAGCACTAAGACTAGCCCTAGCACCAACACTAGCACCAACACCAACACTCGCCCTAGCACTAAGACTAGCCCTAACACCAGCACTAGCCCTAGCACCAACACCAACACTAGCCCTAGCACCAACACTAGCCCTAGCCCCAGCACCAACACCAACACTAGCCCTAGCACTAAGACTAGCCCTAGCACCAACACTAGCCCTAGCACCAACACCAACACTAGCCCTAGCACCAAGACTAACCCTAGCACTACCACGAGCCGTATTCCTCACACCAGCCCTACCACATCAGCTTCAACGCAGCGCAACGTCGAGCACGCACCCTCGCCCTGACTCTTCCACGTGTCCACCGTCACCCCCCCCCGGCACGCGTGACAGCTTCGAGCAGGGCTTTGTGCACAGCCTGCTGGGGGACGCGGCCGTGGGGGCCGCGGCGGCGCCCGGGGCCCACGCGTGGCTCGGCCTGCGCGACGCGCGGAGCCCCGGCGCGTTCCACTGGGAGAGCGGAGAGGCGCTCACCTACACGCTCTGGGACCACTCGCAGCCAGGTGACGCGGGCAGCCGCAGCAGCACGGCAGGGGCAGCGGGGGAGGGAGGGGGGCAGGGAGGGAGGGGGATGATGGCGAGGAGGCATGGTCCGTCGTGACAATGATGTTGCCGATCACTGCCGACGATTGTTCCGACTTTGTCGATGGTGACGACGGTGCCATCAAAGACGCTGCCGACACCGGCACGGTTGATGATGACGACGATTGTGACAACGACGACGTTGTCCATTCCGAGATCGTCAACAACGGCGATGATGACGGTCAGAGCCCGGCGCAAGCCCCCCGCCCCCCCCCCCCAAAGCGCGGGGCCCGGGGCTGTCGCCCCGATTCGCCGTGTACCCCTAGGGGAACGGCTCTGACCGCACGCGCGCGCGCGCAGGCGGTGACACGGGCTGCGTGACGATGGACCCGGTGGGGGGCCGCTGGAGCGTGCGGAACTGCTCGGCCTTCCCCGCGCGCTTCGTGTGCGAAGAGAAACTCCGGGGCGACACGGAGGAGGAGGAGGAGGAGGGGCAGTCCCCGCCGACCCCCACGACCACGGGCACCGCGCCCCTCCACTGCGCCGAGGGGTGGCGCTCCAAGGACGACCTCCCCTTCTGCTACCAGGTACCGGCGGCGCGCTTCCGTTCGCGAAGCTAAAACTACGGACTAGTTTTAGTTTTTATTTATTTTACCAGGTAAACGCCCACTGAGCTGTAAAGCTCTTTTTTTCAGAAGCGAACCTGGGCTGTCACGAATGATGGCTCAACGAAGTGGCTCGTCATCATGTGGACTTTTGTAGTAGCAGCCAAAACACTCTAAACACGTGATGTCTATTCTAAACGCGGAGGGAAAAAACAGGATAAAACAAATCCACGTGACCACAGGGAGAGAGACAGCGCGCAAGTTCCGAATATACAACAAGCGTCAGGTTTGGGATCGAACCCACGACCTCCTGTATACCAGGCGAGGTAGTCAACATCTCCGAGCCACCGCGACATTTTCGTTCCACCGACGTCCCCGCCATCAACATTTCTCAGCCAGGGGACCGCAATTGGCTCTGATACCGACCGCCAACATTCGGCTGCACGTTCATTCGGTCCCCCTCCCCCCATCATCCTCCCCCACTTCGAGAGGGATGCCTGGGGCAGCAGCGCCCGCTTTTCTTCACCCCCCCCCCGGCCCGGCGACGTAACAACTTGAGGAAACGAATGGAGGAGAGTAAAAAAGGGTGTAAGCTTGCGTAAAATCGAGGGGGGTAGTCGTCTGTGCCTCTGTGTGCGCGTTAAAGTTCACGTAGCCATTCCGCGCTGATCGGAGGCGCGAGCGGAAGGAGTGGACTGGCCGGGAGCAGAGCTCACTTCTCAAATCCAGGCTGCTCCCACGGCTAATCCCACCAGACGCTAGCTCTATCACTAGCTCTTGACTAGCCAACCAGACGCGAGCTCTAGCTCTACCACTAGCTCTTGACTAGCCAACCAGACGTGAGCTCTAGCTCTACCACTAGCTCTTAACTAGCCAACCAGACGTGAGCACTAGCTCTACCACTAGCTCTTAACTAGCCAACCAGACGTGAGCTCTAACTCTATCACTAGCTCTTGACTAGCCAACCAGACGCGAGCTCTAGCTCTATCACTAGCTCTTGACTAGCCAACCAGACGTGAGCTCTAGCTCTACCACTAGCTCTTGACTAGCCAACCAGACGTGAGCTCTAGCTCTACCACTAGCTCTTAACTAGCCAACCAGACGTGAGCACTAGCTCTACCACTAGCTCTTAACTAGCCAACCAGACGTGAGCTCTAGCTCTACCACTAGCTCTTGACTAGCCAACCAGACGTGAGCTCTAGCTCTACCACTAGCTCTTAACTAGCCAACCAGACGTGAGCTCTAGCTCTATCACTAGCTCTTGACTAGCCAACCAGACGTGAGCACTAGCTCTACCACTAGCTCTTGACTAGCCAACCAGACGCGAGCTCTAGCTCTACCACTAGCTCTTAACTAGCTAACCAGACGCTAGCTCCACCACTAGCTCTTAACTAGCCAACCAGACGTGAGCTCTAGCTCTACCACTAGCTCTTAACTAGCCAACCAGACGTGAGCTCTAGCTCTACCACTAGCTCTTAACTAGCCAACCAGACGTGAGCTCTAGCTCTACCACTAGCTCTTGACTAGCCAACCAGACGTGAGCTCTAGCTCTACCACTAGCTCTTAACTAGCCAACCAGACGCGAGCTCTAGCTCTATCACTAGCTCTTGACTAGCCAACCAGACGTGAGCTCTAGCTCTACCACTAGCTCTTAACTAGCTAACCAGACGCTAGCTCCACCACTAGCTCTTAACTAGCCAACCAGACGTGAGCTCTAGCTCTACCACTACCTCTTAACTAGCCAACCAGACGCGAGCTCTAGCTCCACCACTACCTCTTAACTAGCCAACCAGACGTGAGCTCTAGCTCTACCACTAGCTCTTAACTAGCCAACCAGACGCGAGCTCTAGCTCTACCACTACCTCTTAACTAGCCAACCAGACGCGAGCTCTAGCTCCACCACTACCTCTTAACTAGCCAACCAGACGTGAGCTCTAGCTCTACCACTAGCTCTTAACTAGCCAACCAGACGCGAGCTCTACCACTAGCTCTTAACTAGCCAACCAGACGCTAGCTCCACCACTACCTCTTAACTAGCCAACCAGACGCGAGCTCTAGCTCTACCACTAGCTCTTAACTAGCCAACTAGACGCGAGCTCTAGCTCTATCACTAGCTCTTAACTAGCCAACCAGATACGAGTGCTAGCTCTACCACTAGCTCTTAACTAGCCAACCAGACGCGAGCACTAGCTCTACCACTAACTCTTAACTAGCCAACCAGACGCGAGCTCTACCACTACCTCTTAACTAGCCAACCAGACGCGAGCTCTACCACTAGCTCTTAACTAGCCAACCAGACGCGAGCGCTAGTTCTACCACTAGCTCTTAACTAGCCAACCAGACGCGAGCGCTAGCTCTACCACTAACTCTAATAAGTCAGCATTTGAGGTGATTTAGTCGATATTAATCTGTTGCGTGTCCGCGTGTCCGCATGTCTGTCCGTCTGGTTCGTGTGTCTGTCCGTCTGGTCCATGTATCTGCCCGTGTGTCCGTGTGTCTGCCCGTGTGTCCGCGTGTCTACTCGTGTGTCCGCGTGTCTACTCGTGTGTCCGCGTGTCTGCCCGTGTGTCCGCGTGTCTACTCGTGTGTCCGCGTGTCTACTCGTGTGTCCGCGTGTCTGCCCGTGTGTCCGCGTGTCTGCCCGTGTGTCCGCGTGTCTGCCCTGTGTCCGCGTGTCTGCCCGTGTGTCCGCGTGTCTACCCGTGTGTCCGCGTGTCTGCCCGTGTGTCCGCGTGTCTGCCCGTGTGTCCGCGTGTCTGCCCGTGTGTCCGCGCGCCCGTGCACAGGTGAACCGCATGGCGCAGGACGTCCGCCAGACGTGGCGGGTGGCGCTGGAGCACTGCCGCGTGCAGGGCGCCGAGCTGCTCAGCGTCCATTCCACGGAGGAGCACAGCTTCGTGGACGACCTCGTGTGAGCGACCTGCGCTTCTGGGGCAGACGTCGGCAAACCTGCGGCTTCGGACGCCGCGCGCGGCTCTTTGAGGGCCGCCTTTGTGACGTCATGCACATTCGCATTGCTGATCTTGAGACGTTGAGTCTCTTTTGCCGAATTCGAAAATTAAAATGGCCCAGGATCGTTCGAGACCCCTGCTCTAGAACTACCCCGACCGAGCCTTAGACCTAAACCTAGACCTAGGCTTAACCCTCCAGCCAACCCCTAACCCTACAGCCAACCCTTAACCCTCCAGCCAACCCCTAACCTACAGCCCAACCCCTAACCCTACAGCCAACCCTTAACCCTACAGCCAACCCCTATCCCTACAGACAACCCCTATCCCTACAGCCAACCCCTAACCCTACAGCCAACCCCTATCCCTACAGCCAACCCCTAGCTCGAGGCTTGGCCTCTGGACGTGTCCCTTGACCTGTGTGTGTATGTTGAACTTCATTCCGACTGTACACAGCAAACTGTGCTAAACGGAGGTTCCGGGGAAGGACACAAGATGGCCACTGCATGGCGTGCTTGCAGATTCACTTCTGCGGCTGTCTGGAACGCTGTTCGGAAGCCACTGGAGCTGTGCACTTTTAAATCATCTAGATTGACAAACTCGCTGATTTAGAACTGCTTGTTGGTGTGTTTAGTTTGTCGTCCTTTACCCGCACACCCCCAATTAGTACGGTGGGCTACGTACGGTGCAAAAGAAGTTCAACATACGTGCACATACAAAAAACGTCGGTGGAAATTGCCGAAGCACCGTCTGGAATGCGTTCACCCCGCAACGTGGCTCTCTCGCTCCCCGCTCCCTCCCTGCTCCCTCCCTGCTCCCTCTCCCCGCCCCCTCCCTGCTCCCTCCCTGCTCCCTCCCTGCTTCCTCCCCCCGCTCCCTCCCTGCTCCCTCCCTGCTCCCTCCTTGCTCCCTCCCTGCTCCCTCCCCCCGCTCCCTCCCTGCTCCCTCCCTGCTCCCTCCCTGCTCCCTCTCCCCGCTCCCTCTCGTGCGTGCGCGCAGGGAGGATTCGAACAGTAAGCGCTCGATCAGCGACTTCATCCACATGTACAGCTACGAGTACACGGATGAGAGCGACTCCCCCTCGGACCCCGGGGCCTTCTGGGTGGGCGCCAACCAGCTGGACCCCGACGAGAGCAACATGTGGAGCGACGGCTCGCCCGTGCGTCGTCGCGCCCGCACGCTGCTGCTGCTGCTGCACACCTGCTGCACGTGCACACCTACACACCTACACACCTGCTGCACACCTGCTGCACGTGCACACCTACACACCTGCTGCACGTGCACACCTACACACCTGCTGCACACCTGCTGCACGTGCACACCTGCTGCACACCTACTGCACACCTGCTGCACGTGCACACCTGCTGCACACCTGCTGCACGTGCACACCTGCTGCACACCTGCTGCACGTGCACACCTACACACCTGCTGCACGTGCACACCTACACACCTGCTGCACGTGCACACCTGCTGCACACCTGCTGCACGTGCACACCTGCTGCACACCTGCTGCACGTGCACACCTACACACCTGCTACACCTGCTGCACGTGCACACCTACACACCTGCTACACACCTGCTGCACATCTGCTGCACGTGCACACCTATACATATGCTCCACATCTGCACACCTGCTGCACGTGCACACCTGCTGCACACCTGCTGCACGTGCACACCTGCTGCACACCTGCTGCACGTGCACACCTGCTGCACACCTGCTGCACGTGCACACCTACACACCTGCTGCACGTGCACACCTACACACCTGCTGCACGTGCACACCTACACACCTGCTGCACATGCACACCTGCTGCACACCTGCTGCACGTGCACACCTACACACCTGCTGCACACCTGCTGCACGTGCACACCTACACACCTGCTACACCTGCTGCACGTGCACACCTACACACCTGCTACACACCTGCTGCACATCTGCTGCACGTGCACACCTATACATATGCTCCACATCTGCACACCTGCTGCACGTGCACACCTACACACCTGCTGCACACCTGCTGCACACGCACACCTACACTCCTGCGATACACCCGCTGCACTACCTAGATACATGGATACCCACCTACATAAGAACTTGCACACCTGCTGCACTCCTGCTGCACAACCTGCTTGCATGCGCACCTACACCCCCGCTGCACACCAGGATATATGGATACCTATGGACCTACATACGTGCCTGCACTCATGCTCTCCCGCACTACTGGACACATAGACGGCTGCACAGATGGACACCTAAGCAGCTGAATATCTATACACTTTGACGTGTAGAGGCCTGGACACCTGCACGCGTGAACATCTAAACACCGGAACATAGACATTCTCACCTTCATTTATGTATCCCTATACACATAGACACACATACACAGCCTAACGCCTGTGCACGTGCATGTCTGTTCATCGTGTCGAGTCGAGCGAAGTCGAGTGCAACCCCGCCGAGCTGAGCGGAGTTTCGAGTTCAGCGCGATGGGTCGCATCGTGGTGGGGATCGCGACCCGGGTAAAGTCGCGCTCAGTTCACTCGGCTGAACAGAGGAGGGCGCATCTCCACCCCCCCCCCCTTCCCCTCCCCCCCCCGCAGGTGGACCGCCAGTTCGTGCGCTTCCACCCGATCGAGTCGGATGGCCAGTGTGGCACGGTGGAGAACTCGTACGTGACCCTGTGGAGGATGGAGCCGTGCGACCTGTTCAGGAGCTGGATCTGCAAGGTCGCCAAAGGTGTGGGGGGCAAGAGGCGACCGCGTGCACGGCGGATCCAATGGGGTGGGGGGGGGCAGGGGGTGGATACGAGTAGCCCACAGTCACGCAGAGAAGACAAAGATCCCCCGTGTAGTGGTGGTTAAGGAGGTTAGTGGCGATGTGGCTGAATTCTCAGTCGACTCCAGACAGAGATTACAGGTTCAAGATGTGGAGCCCGGCTCCCAAATGAACCACCGTTCACTGGCAGTAGAATGTGGAATTTCCACTAACTACTAACTACAGCAATGTGACAAGGACAAAGATCCCCCGCATAGCCTTTGACAGACTGCTGGGGCAATTGCTGTTAGCGGGTAGCAGCAGCTATGAAGGTCGGAAATTTGGCACACGAGGGGGTGGGTGGGTGGCCAGCACCACGGACAGCCACACACAAAGACAAAGACAAAGATGCCCCCTATAGCCTTAACAGACTGTTGGGGCAAGTGCTGTTAGCGAGCACCTATGAAGGCCGGAACGGCACACGAGGAGGTGGGTGCCCAGCACCACGCCTGACCGCCTTTGTCTCCCCAGTGGCGATGTTTACACACCGCACTAGGTACTCATTTGAGGCTGAGACGACTTAGGGGATGCCCGGGACCGGTTCAGATAATCGTCACTGGTGTTGGCCGTGAGCAGGAATCGAACCCGGGTCGCCAGGTTCATAGCGCAGCGCGCTAACCGCTACACTATCGCTCCCCAGTCACACACACAGTCACACAGTCACACACACAGTCACACACACACAGTTACACACAGTCACACACACATAGTTACACACAGTCACACACAGTCACACACAGTCACACAGTCACACACACACACACAGTCACACAGTCACACAAACACAGTCACACACACACACACAGTCACACACACACAGTCACACACACACAGTCACACACACACAGTCACACACACACAGTCACACACAGTCACACACACAGTCGCTCACACACACAGTCACACACACACACAGTCACACACACACACAGTCACACAGTCACACACACACACACACAGTCACACACACATAGTCACACACACATAGTCACACACACACAGTCACACCAGTCACACAGTCACACACAGTCACACACACAGTAACAGGCAAACCGACGCCGTGTAGCCGAGTGGCGTCCGCTAAGCTCCCATGCCACTGTGTTTACATATTCCCAATTGTCTTTTGTTTTTCCAGGAAAACGTTTAAATCCGATGTCAAATGACATGTTCCACAAAGGTAAGCACGTCGCACTACTTATAGGCGCATCGCGATGTGCCACCCGACACAGGCAATTATAATTAAGTAATCTAACCCACCCAAAAAAACTATATTTTGGATTATATTTGTTGCCAAAGTCTACGTGTTAAACAGACATTTATTATGTGTGTAATATTCCCTTATTATATACAAATGACAAAGATCCCCTGTATCGACTAAACAGACTGTTGGGGCAAGTGCTGTTAGCGACCACCTATGATAGACCGGAACGGAACACGAGGGGGTGGGTGGCCAGCGCCACGCCCGACCGCCTTTGTCTCCCCAGTGGCGATGTTTACTACACACCGCACCAGGTACTCATTTGAGGCTGAGTCGACCTAGGCGAGGCCCAGGGCCGATTCAAATAATTTTCACCGGTGTTGGCCGTGAGCGGGAATCGAACTCGGGTCGCCAGGTTCCTACGTCGGATTGTTCCAAAGTGCGACGTAGGAAGAAGCGATTGTAAACTATCAAAGTAAACTGTTTTGATTTTAGCGGACAAGACCCACCGTGTGATTAGCTCGATTTCAGAAGCGACCTGGCCACAAATGATAGCGCCACGAAGTGGAAACTTACAACAGCCAAATACTCTAAACGTGTGGTGACGTTGATTCTTAATGTGGAGGGTGGGAACCGGAGGACCCGGAGAAAAATCCACGCGACCACGGGGAGAGAGAGAGAGAGAGGAGAGAGAGAGACACGCAAACTCCAAATATACAGCAGCGTGCGTCAGGCTCTAAAATCACGGCCTTCCTGCTGCATTCCCCGGCGAGGGAGACGACACCATCCACAGCTTGGCATCAGGCGATGTCACCTTTCAGGACGCAGTCAAACAATCAAGGCCCCCCCTCCCCCCCTCCCCCCGCGGGACACAGAGAACATGACGGCGGACGGGTGGTACGCGCTGGGCACGCGCGACATCTTCTACAGCCGCAACCAGACCGCGACGTTCGCCGAGGCTCGGCGCAAGTGCGCGCTCGGAGGGGGCGACCTGGCCATGCCGCGCAGCGAGCAGGAGCAGCGGGAGCTGCTGCGCATCGTGAGCTGGGGGGGGGGGGGGAGGTGGTGCTGGTGGTGGGGGGTTCGTTGGCACGCTAGGGGGGTGGTGGTGGGGTTGGTTGGCGCGCTAGGGGGGGGGGGTGGTGGTGGTGGTGGGGTTGGAACGCTAGGTGGGTGGTGGTGGTGGTGGTGGTGGTGGGGTTGGTTGGCACGCTAGGGGGGTGGTGGTGGTGGGGGGTTGGCACACTAGGGGGGGTGGTGGTGGGGGGTTTGGTTGGCGTGCATGGGGGTGGTGGTGGGGGGGGGTTGGCACGCTAGGGGCGGGGGGGGGGGCACAGGCGGTGCGTGCGCAAAGTCATCTGAGTCAGTCGATCCACGGCCACCACCTGGGTCTACCCAGTGGAGGAATCTACAACTCTGGTTTCACGACACGTTCATGTTTACGCGATCTTACCCAAACCCCTTTATTATTTACGGGTAATATTCGTTGCCAACGCCTCCGTGTTGAACTCACTTTCAAACTATTTTTTTTATTTCATCGGGTAAGGCCCACTGAGCTATTAGCTTCTGTTTCAGAAGCCACCTACCCACAAATTATAGCCCCAATAAAGTCGCTTATCACGTGGAAATCTATTGCAGCCAAATGGAGGGCGGCACTGCGCATGAGGGGTGGCGTGGCACGCACCACGCCCGACCGCCTTTGTCTCCGCAGTGCTGATGTTTACACACGGCACCAGGTACTCATTAAAGGCTGAGTCGACCTAGGGGAGGTCCAGGATTGGTTTTAGATATTAACCACTGATATATACCGTGGCCAGGAATAGAATCCAGGGTGACCGGGTTCATAGTGCAGTGCGCCTAGCCACTCCCCCACTGCCCCCCCGTTATCTCTACACACACACACGCACACCCAGATACATTGTGTGCAAAGACACAGACTGCTCCACACGTCGAGAACTACGTGTTCATCTCTTGCAAATGTTGAGAAAAAAATTGCAATTATTGATACCCATTCATTGATCTGTGTCTGTCTCACTTTGTGTGTCTGTGTCTCTCTGTATGTCTGTCTGTCTGGCTATCTGTGCGTCTATGTCTCTCTGTGTCTGGGTGTTTGTGTGTCTCTCTGTTGTCTCTCTTTATCTCTGTCTATGATGCGTAGACATCCAAGTACGACCTCCAAGAAATATGGATTGGTCTTCAGATGAATAAAGGAGTGTTTGGGTGCGTACTCACGCAAACACAATAGCATGCACACACGCACACACGCAAGGTAGGCACACATACACACAATAAACAAGGGAGGTACGTACACATGGATACGTCCAATATTATCACTCACCACTGATGTCGGCCCTTGCCTGGATTATAATTTAGGTCACCGGATTCATGGAGCACCACGCTAACCACTGCGCCACCGTTCTACGCCATCTGGGCATACGGACACATGCAGAATGCGTGCGCACATAGACAAAGACACATTGAGAAGTGCACATAGACGAGGAGGCGCGCAGACACGTGCGCATCACACGGACACGCACGCACACGGGACACGTATGCAGACACACACACACACAGACGTGTACACAAGGCCTCATTTGATCCGCGTCTGTTCGGCTTTGGCGTGCACACGTGCAGGTGGGTCGACGGCTCGCCGCTGAACCACACAAACTGGTCGCCCTACGAGCCCAACAACTACGCCCTGGAGGAGTACTGTGGCAGCATGAGCTCGCAGATTGGTGAGCGCAAGTCCGGCCCCTCCGTCCGTCGAACTCCGAGCAATCCTCCATCCGCCTCACGCCAAATCTCTCCATCCCTCTGTCCGTCTACCCATCCTTCTGTCTAATGCGAAGTGCGCGCGCGTGCGTGCGTGTCTGCCTGTCTTATGCCATCTGTGTCTGTCTCTATGCAGCGATGGAATCCCCGTCCTCTCTTTCTCTGCCTACTCGTCTGCGAGTCTGTAATGCTGGCCGCTCAGTCTCTTAGATCATTCTGCCGATGATGAACTGAACCTTATGGCGGGACCCCGGGGTCCCGAAGAAACGGAAGTCAAAATCGTAATTAATGTATTATTTTTTTAGGCGACTCCGTCCCACGACGCACATAAACGCCGCGACCCGCCTGGCGCGGATCGTTCTGTTGTCGTGTCGTCCAAGCGCAGCAGCGAGGACGGACGCGCAGAAGAAACACAACTTTTAAACTTTTTATTAGCGCATCGTGTAGAGCTCGTCGAGAGGGACAGATCGCCGTGTCGTTCGCCTTCAACAGACTTAAAATGACGTCGCAACGCAGTTGATGCGAGAGCCCCGGGGGCTTATGGGACCCAGGGGGTCCCGCCATAAGGTTCAGTCGATGATGGTGATGACTCAAACCGACGAGATGATGACCGTGGATGTGCCCCGCCCCGCTCACCCGCCCACCCTGACCCCCTCGCAGGGAACTGGAACGATCGCAACTGCGGGGCGCGCCTCTTGTACGTTTGCCAGCGTGGGAACGGCACCACCCCCATGGCCACCCCAGCCCCCACCGCCCCCTCCACGGGGGGATGCCCCCGCAAGTGGCTCCTCTTTGGCAGCAAGGTGACCCCCCCCCCCCCCCACGACGCCACCACCCTCCCCCACCCCAACAAACAAAAGACAAAGATCTCCCGTATAGCCTTAAGTGCTGCTCGCGAGCACTTGTGAAGGCCGGCGCTGTGGCACACGAAGGGGTGGGTGGCCAGCAACCACGCCCGACCGCCTTTGTCTCCCTAGTGGCGATGTTTACACACACCGCACCAGGTACTCAATTTGAGGCTGAGTCGACCTAGGGGATGAAACCCATTACACAGCTGATGATGCTGCGGATGATGATGCTGATGACGGTGCGGATGATGGTGCTGCTGCTGATGGTGCTGATGGTGCTCATGATGCTGATGATGCTCATGATGCTCATCATGCTGATGATGCTCATGATGCTGCTGCTGATGGTGCTGATGGTGCTCATGATGATGCTCATGATGCTCATGATGCTCATCATGCTGATGATGCTCATGATGCTCATCATACTGATGATGCTCATGATGCTGATGGTGCTCATGATGCTGATGATGCTCATGATGCTGATGATGCTCATGATGCTCATCATGCTGATGATGCTCATCATGCTGATGGTGCTCATCATGCTGATGATGCTCATGATGCTGATGGTGCTCATGATGCTGATGATGCTGATGACGCTCATGATGCTGATGATGCTGATGATGCTCATCATGCTGATAATGTTCATGATGCTGATGCTCATGTGTTGCGAGCAGTGCTATTTGATCCGGGCATCCAACTCATCGGAGTACGTCAACTGGGACTCGGCCAACCTCATCTGCCACAGCCGAGGAGGACACCTCGTCACCGTGCAGTCCCCCCTCGAGCAAGGTTATCAATTGATGCAGATCATCATCATTCACATCGTCATCTTCGTCAACATCATCATCGTCAAGAGCACCATCGTAATTACCATCATCCTAATCATGGTCAACAATAGCTGTTGCCTTTATGTGTCCGTGTGTGTGTATGTGTGTATGCGTGTTTGTGTGTGTATTCGTGTTTGTGTGTGTGTGCGTGTTTGTGTGTCCGTGTGTGTGTGCGCGTGTTTGTGTGTTTGTGTGTCCGTGTGTGTATGCGTGTTTGTGTGTGTGCGCGTGTTTGTGTGTCCGTGTGTGTGCACGTGTTTGTGTGTCCGCGTGTGTGTATGCGTGTTTGTGTGTGTGTGCGTGTTTGTCTGTGTGTGTGTGTGCGTGTTTGTCTGTGTGTGTGCGTGTTTGTGTGTCCGTGTGTGTGTGCGCGTGTTTGTGTGTGTGTGCGTGTTTGTGTGTCCGTGCGTGTGTGCGCGTGTTTGTCTGTGTGTGTGCGTGTTTGTGTGTCCGTGTGTGTGTGCGCGTGTTTGTCTGTGTGTGCGTGTTTGTGTGTTCGTGTGTATGGGTATTTTGTACCATCGGACACTACACCCCCACAACTCCCAATCGGTGATGGGGCAGTTGTGGAGCGAGTGGAGAGTTTCCCATACCTGGGCAGTGTGCTTATGACCGGCTCCAGTTTAACAGCAGAGGTCTCACTCCGAATCAGTCGAGCGGCAATATATTTTCATCAGTTGCGTAACGCTGTGTGGAAGCTACCTGGTCTGTCGCTCCGCACTAAGCTTCAGGTCTTCTCAGCCACGGTCATTCCCTCCCTTCTCTACGCTTGCGAAACGTGGACCCCCCTAATGGAACATCTTCGCCGGTTAGAAACATTTAGGCTGGCCTGCCTACGATCCATCCTGGGGTTAACCAGACTGGATTGTGTGAGGAGCTCACAAATCCTTGAAAGATCTGGGCAAGGTCCCATCGGTGAGCTCCTCCGGCGGGCAAGGCTGCGATGGCTGGGTCATGTAGCCCGCATGCCCAGCCACCGCATGCCGAAACAGCTTTTGTTCGGCCAGATCGAGGGGGCTAAACGGGCGCGGCACGGGCTAGAGAAGAGATGGAGTGATGTGGTACAGGAGGACGTGGAGCTGAGTGGACTTGCCGATTACTGGTACCAGCGGTGTCAAGATCGGCCTCTGTGGAGGAGGCTCGTGAAGGACGCTACTGGGAAGTTGGAGGTAGTCGCCCTCTAACAACAACGGAGGGCAGAGGAGCGACGCTCAGAACAACGAGCGGAGCGCCGGGTGGCTAAAGCACAGCAGGTTGGCACAGTAGGGGGCACAGGTGGTGCATCAGCCAGTCATCTCGGTCAGTCGACGGGTGGCACCTTGGTCTGCCCCGTGACCTCCTGCCAGCGGGCGTTCGACACTTCACGTGGCCTCAGGGTGCACATAGCCTGGCACAAGCGTCGTGGTGACGTCACCGCCACTTAGTGGTGAATGGCGGTTGTTGTTGTTGGCTATCTGTGTGTGTCTGTGTCTCGGTGTTTGTGTGTCTCTCTCTCTCTGTGTCTGGCTATCTGTGTGTGTCTCTGTGTGTCTGTGTCTCGGTATTTGTGTGTCTCTCTCTCTCTCTGTGTGTATGGCTATCTGTGTTTGTCTGTGTCTCGGTGTTTGTGTGTCTCTCTCTCTGTGTGTCTGGCTATCTGTGCATGTGTCTCTGTGTGTCTGTGTCTCATTGTTTGTGTGTGTTTCTCTGTGTGTGTATCTGGCTATCTGTGCGTATGTCTCTATGTGTCTGTGTCTCGGTATTTGTGTGTCTCTCTCTCTGTGTGTCTCACTATCTGTGCGTGTGTCTGTGTCTCGGTGTTTGTGTCTCTCTCTCTCTGTGTGTCTGGTTATCTGTGCGTGTGTCTCTGTGTCTGTGTCTCATTGTTTGTGTGTCTCTCTCTCTCTCTCTGTGTATCTGGCTATCTGTGCGTGTGTCTCTGTGTGTCTGTGTCTCGGTGTTTGTGTGTGTCTCTCTCTCTCTGTGTGTCTCTCTCTCTATGTGTCTGGCTATCTGTGCGTGTGTCTCTGTGTGTCTGTGTCTCAATGTTTGTGAGTCTCTCTGTATCTCACTCTATGATGTGTATTTTTGTAGACACCCAAGTACGACCTCCATGGTACATGGATGGGTCTTTAGATGAATTAAGGAGCATTTGGGTGTCTGCTTGCTCGACTGTAATCAAGCGCTGCCAACCATCGCCATACCTCCGCAAGGAATTGCTGGGAGACGTTCTCGGGGAGGCCCTCATCCAGCAGTGGATCGATCGTGGTTGCCAAGGATGACGATGATGACCAGGGCCCCCCCCACCCCCCCCCCTCCCCCGCAGCCTTCCTGCTCAGCCACATGGTGCCGAATGCAAACGGGCACCTCTACATCGGCCTCACGGACCGCAACAAGATGGACGAGTACCTGTGGACCGAGAACCTGCCGCTCTCCTTCAGCAACTGGGCGGTCGGACAGCCCTCGCAGACTTACTCGGTAGTGCCGAGGTACCGGCGCGGTACCGGCGCGGTGCCGCTGACTCGCCCACTGAGAGCCCTCGTCCTCACGGCGCGGCCAACGGTGTCCGCCGATGTCCCCAAACCGCACCCCACCCTCCCCGCCTCTCTTCTTCGGGAGAAGGGCCGGGGGTGGCGGCGAGCTCGGGGAGTTCGCCGGGGGAGCGGGGGGGGGCAGAGGGGCGGGGGGGGGGGGCGGGGGGGCGGGGGGGCGGGGCCGTTCGGCCACTCCCGAGCCGTGAGGAATAACCGGTTATGAGGAACAACCGGTTATGAGGAACAACCGGTTATGAGGAACAACCGGTTATGAGGAACAACCGGTTATGAGGAACAACCGGTTATGAGGAACAACCGGTTATGAGGAACAACCGGTTATGAGGAACAACCGGTTATGAGGAACAACCGGTTATGAGGAACAACCGGTTATGAGGAACAACCGGTTATGAGGAACAACCGGTTATGAGGAACAGCCGGTTATGAGGAACAACCGGTTATGAGGAACAACCGGTTATGAGGAACAACCGGTTATGAGGAACAACCGGTTATGAGGAACAACCGGTTATGAGGAACAACCGGTTATGAGGAACAACCGGTTATGAGGAACAACCGGTTATGAGGAACAACCGGTTATGAGGAACAACCGGTTATGAGGAACAACCGGTTATGAGGAACAACCGGTTATGAGGAACAACCGGTTATGAGGAACAACCGGTTATGAGGAACAACCGGTTATGAGGAACAACCGGTTATGAGGAACAACCGGTTATGAGGAACAACCGGTTATGAGGAACAACCGGTTATGAGGAACAACCGGTTATGAGGAACAACCGGTTATGAGGAACAACCGGTTATGAGGAACAACCGGTTATGAGGAACAACCGGTTATGAGGAACAACCGGTTATGAGGAACAACCGGTTATGAGGAACAACCGGTTATGAGGAACAACCGGTTATGAGGAACAACCGGTTATGAGGAACAACCGGTTATGAGGAACAACCGGTTATGAGGAACAACCGGTTATGAGGAACAACCGGTTATGAGGAACAACCGGTTATGAGGAACAACCGGTTATGAGGAACAACCGGTTATGAGGAACAACCGGTTATGAGGAACAACCGGTTATGAGGAACAACCGGTTATGAGGAACAACCGGTTATGAGGAATAACCGCTACGCTCCGGCATGCGGTCGTTGTCTTTGCTTGGGCTCCCTTGCGGAGTTTTTTAACGCTCTCCGCTGCATTTCCTGGAGTCTGTAATTCTTCCGCGTTTTCCACTTTCCCCACCTGCGATGCATCGTTGTCGCCCGGCCACCCCAGCCGTCCAAAGCCTTTCCGCTGACGACTTTCTGACGCTTGGCCGTTCATCCGCACTCGGGCCCTCTCGAGTGCTGCTAAGCTTGGCTTGTATGTCGGGGATTATCGGCGTAAGGCACTACCACTGGAGTACGAGATATGTGCCTATGCAAAGCGGTGGATGTAAAGTTAAGACATCCAATGATATGACTCCATCCTGTGCCGGACACTCGGAAACGTTATTGTTGATGTCGTCCTTGATGTCATTGTTAATATCATAGTCGATGTCATCGTTGGTGTCGTTGTTGATGTCATAGTCGATGTCATCGTTGGTGTCGTTGTTGATGTCATTGGCGATGTCATCGTTGGTGTCGTTGTTGATGTCATAGTCGATGTCATCGTTGGTGTCGTTGTTGATGTCATAGTCGATGTCATCATTGGTGTCGTTGTTGATGTCATAGTCGATGTCATCGTTGGTGTCGTTGTTGATGTCATAGTCGATGTCATCATTGGTGTCGTTATTGATGTCATAGTCGATGTCATCGTTGGTGTCGTTGTTGATGTCATAGTCGATGTCATCGTTGGTGTCGTTGTTGATGTCATTGGCGATGTCATCGTTGGTGTCGTTGTTGATGTCATAGTCGATGTCATCGTTGGTGTCGTTGTTGATGTCGTTTATGTCGTCATCGTTGGTGTCGTTGTTGATGTCATAGTCGATGTCATCGTTGGTGTCGTTGTTGATGTCATTGGCGATGTCATCGTTGGTGTCGTTGTTGATGTCATTGGCGATGTCATCGTTGGTGTCGTTGTTGATGTCATTGGCGATGTCATCGTTAATGTGGTTGTTGATGTCGTTAATGTCGTCATCGTTGCTGCCATTGCTGTGGTGGTGAGCGCAGCACGACTGCGTGGGCATGGACCCGTTCACAGGGAAGTGGTTCACCACCTCGTGCTTTGAGCTCAGTGGCTTCATCTGCCAGAAGTTCCGAGGTGAGCAGCTCACCCCTTCCCCGCTCACTGGCGCGCTCAGCCCTCCCCACTCACCCACACGCTCACCACTCCCCGCTCACCCACACGCTCACCACACCCCGCTCACCCACACGCTCACCACTCCCCACTCACCCACACGCTCACCACTCCCCGCTCACCCACACGCTCACCACTCCCCACTCACCCACACGCTCACCACTCCCTGTTCACTCACACGCTCACTACTCCCCGCTCACGCACACGCTCACCACTCCCCGCTCACCCACACGCTCACCCCTTCCCCGCTCACCCACACGCTCACCACTCCCCGCTCACTGGCGCGCTCAGCCCTCCCCGCTCACCCACACGCTCACCACTCCCCGCTCACCCACACGCTCACCACTCCCCGCTCACCCACACACTCACCACTCCCCGCTCACCCACACGCTCACCACTCCCCGCTCACCCACACACTCACCACTCCCCGCTCACCCACACGCTCACCACTCCCCGCTCACCCACACACTCACCACTCCCCGCTCACCCACACACTCACCACTCCCCGCTCACCCACACGCTTACCACTCCCCGCTCACCCACACACTCACCACTCCCCGCTCACCCACACACTCACCACTCCCCGCTCACCCACACGCTCACCACTCCCCGCTCACCCACACACTCACCACTCCCCGCTCACCCACACACTCACCACTCCCCGCTCACCCACACGCTCACCACTCCCCGCTCACCCACACACTCACCACTCCCCGCTCACCCACACACTCACCACTCCCCGCTCACCCACACGCTCAACACTCCCCGCTCACCCACACACTCACCACTCCCCGCTCACCCACACGCTTACCACTCCCCGCTCACCCACACACTCACCACTCCCCGCTCACCCACACACTCACCACTCCCCGCTCACCCACACGCTCACCACTCCCCGCTCACCCACACACTCACCACTCCCCGCTCACCCACACACTCACCACTCCCCGCTCACCCACACGCTCACCACTCCCCGCTCACCCACACGCTCACCACTCCCCGCTCACCCACACACTCACCACTCCCCGCTCACCCACACACTCACCACTCCCCGCTCACCCACACACTCACCACTCCCCGCTCACCCACACGCTCACCACTCCCCGCTCACCCACACACTCACCACTCCCCGCTCACCCACACACTCACCACTCCCCGCTCACCCACACGCTTACCACTCCCCGCTCACCCACACACTCACCACTCCCCGCTCACCCACACACTCACCACTCCCCGCTCACCCACACGCTCACCACTCCCCGCTCACCCACACACTCACCACTCCCCGCTCACCCACACACTCACCACTCCCCGCTCACCCACACGCTCACCACTCCCCGCTCACCCACACACTCACCACTCCCCGCTCACCCACACACTCACCACTCCCCGCTCACCCACACGCTCACACTCCCCGCTCACCCACACACTCACCACTCCCCGCTCACCCACACGCTCACCACTCCCCGCTCACCCACACACTCACCACTCCCCGCTCACCCACACACTCACCACTCCCCGCTCACCCACACACTCACCACTCCCCGCTCACCCACACGCTCACCACTCCCCGCTCACCCACACACTCACCACTCCCCGCTCACCCACACACCTCACCACTCCCCGCTCACCCACACGCTTACCACTCCCCGCTCACCCACACACTCACCACTCCCCGCTCACCCACACACTCACCACTGCCCCGCTCACCCACACGCTCACCACTCCCCGCTCACCCACACACTCACCACTCCCCGCTCACCCACACACTCACCACTCCCCGCTCACCCACACACTCACCACTCCCCGCTCACCCACACACTCACCACTCCCCGCTCACCCACACACTCACCACTCCCCGCTCACCCACACGCTCAACACTCCCCGCTCACCCACACACTCACCACTCCCCGCTCACCCACACGCTCACCACTCCCGCTCACCCACACACTCACCACTCCCCGCTCACCCACACACTCACATCCCCGCTCACCCACACACTCACCACTCCCCGCTCACCCACACGCTCAACACTCCCCGCTCACCAGCACACTCACCACTCCCCGCTCACCCACACACTCACCACTCCCCGCTCACCCACACACTCACCACTCCCCGCTCACCCACACACTCACCACTCCCCGCTCACCCACACGCTCAACACTCCCCGCTCACCAGCACACTCACCACTCCCCGCTCACCCACACACTCACCACTCCCCGCTCACCCACACACTCACCACTCCCCGCTCACCCACACACTCACCACTCCCCGCTCACCCACACACTCACCACTCCCCGCTCACCCACACACTCACCCCTCCCAGCTCACCAGCACACTCACCCCTCTCCTCTCACCTGCACGATCACCTACCTGCATCCTGTCTCACCTCCACACCTGGGCACAGTTTCACTTGGGCACAGTTTCACCTGAGAATTGTAATCCGCCACAATGATTCAATTGTGAATCCCACGATAACCCTTCTCTCTCCTCCCGCGCCAGACCCGCTGTTCCTGCCCCCCCCCGCCACGCCGGCCCCCCGGCAGCGCGACTTTGGGGGGCTGAGCTACTGGGTGGTGGCGGGGGAGCGCGTGGCGTGGGCACGTGCCGCGGAGGTGTGCGCCGCGGAGGGCGCGGTGCTGCCCCACGTGATGGACCCCACGCACCACGCGTTCCTCACCGTGCTCGCCAGCCGCGTCAGGGAGCCCGTCTGGCTCGGACTGCACGCACACGGCAACAAGGTGACGGTGGTGACGGTGGCGACGGTGGTGGCGGTGGCGGTGGTGGTGGCGGTGCTGGTGCTAGTGGTGGTGGTGGTGGCACTGGTGGTGGCACTGGTGGTGGCGGTGGTGGTGACGGTGGCGACGGTGGTGGCGGTGGCGGTGGTGGTGGTTGTGGCGGTGCTGGTGGTGGTGGTGGCGGTGGTGGTGGTGGTGGTAGCAGTGGTGACAGCAGTGTCGGCGACAGCGGTGGCGGTGGTGGTGATGGCGGTGGTGGTGGCGGTGGTGGTGGTGGCAGTGGTTGTGGTGGGACTGGTAGTGGTGGTGGTCGTAGATGTGGTGGTGGTGGCGATATTGGCAGTGTCACATTCATCGTTGTAATCATCATACAACAAAATAAATAAATTACTATCATCTTTGACATCACCGTCATCTTCTCCATCATTGGCGGTGATGCTGGTGGTGGTGCACAGTGTAGCAAACGCAATAATACAATACAGTTAGAGCTGGGCTACCCGATTAATTAATTTACTCACTCAGGTGAGCTCGGGTGAACTTGGCTACCTCAGGTGATGTCAGGTGCGGTCGGGTTCGCTCCGGTTTGGCCTCCGCGCGGTTCTTCGCCAGTCGCCAATCTGTTCCCGTGTTGCTTCCTGGGCCGCTCGCGACGCTCAAGACCGAGGAGGCCCGCTCGCGGTTCGCGTGGGCCAGCGGGGAGCGCCTCTGGTACGAGGAGTGGGCGCCCGCAGAGCCCCGGTTTGGCAGGGACTGTGCCGTCATCTCCCTCAACGGCAGCTGGGCGAGCGAGGAGTGCGACGCCACTCGGCGCGTCGTGTGCCAGTCCTTGTCCGGTATGCTTCCGGGACACTCGTGACATCGTGGACGGTAGCCGACACTTTACTAACCCGACCGAGTTAAGCAGTCGCCTGCCGATGATTAATCGCCCCCCCCCCCCCCCCCCCGGGGGCCGCCTGCCGATTTTCAAAGCAGGAAGCGCGTCAGACACTTTTATTTTTTAATTTCATATCGCCCTGCGATTTAGCTTGGAAAATCAGAATGCTGTAAAGCGGTTTACCAATTGGCAAGATTTCAGCTGTCAATTCCAAACCGTGCTTGCCAGTCCTACCGCTGATCGGTAGTGTTGGCATGTATGCATGCGGAAGGGAGTTTACGATTGGCAGGATGATGATGACGATGATAAGTCGCATAGCGGCAAAGTGAGCAGGCAGAGCAACTGTGCAGGGGCCTGGGGGCCGCAGGGTCCCAGGCGCCAGGCTAAACACCTCCAATTAGCACGGTTGGCTATGTATGGGGCGAAAGAAGTTCAACAATGCATACATACCTCCTCTAGTCTAGCGACGACCCAGGAAATATAGAATTGGAAATTATTCGCTGGTCACGTCCGTCAATACCTTGAGCTCGCGAGCAGTCCTATTCGTGAGGCGTCCACTCGTGTGCAGCTCTGTCACAGGGCGCTATCTGCTGTCGGTCTGTGGGAAGACTTTATCTCCTTCGGTTGGCTCGCTACTGACGTGACCTTTTCGCCCTGTTGTCCACTTATTACCACCACCCCTCTCCCCTCTTATCTTTTCCTTTCTCTTTTCTATCTCTTCCGAATGTTCCCTCTGTCTCCCTTTCCTGTCTCTGAGCGTCCTATCGCCTCCTCGGTCACGGCTCGGGGCCTCCTCCCACTCTGCGTGAAAATAATCGCATCATTTTTTTTATTTGAAAACTCAGCACATTTGTCGATAAAATTGCGCCCAGTAATGTGGGAACAGCGCGGGAAACCAGCACAGAGTGAACTCAACGACGGCCCACCATGCATTGTCCAATTCTAACCTCCCTCCCCCCTCCTTCTCATGTCATTGAAAATTCCGTAAATGCGAATTTAACGTAACGTATTTCGAATAGTTATATGTTACGTTTTTGAGAAACTCCATACATTCCGTTTCCTTCAAACGACGCATGCCCATGTGCAATAGGCGACGTTCTGGGCAATGTCCCTTCATCACAGCGCATAGAGAGGGACCACAAAGGTATAATGCGTTGATTGTTTTTTTTGGTGCTGTTATTTGTTCTTGTGCACCACTGACAATGCAGCAGCAGCAGCAGCTCCATTCGATCATTTTTAGTTAGAATGTTTTAAGTTACCCACTGGTTACCCAAATGTTCTTCATTGCAAGGCCCGCGGGCCAATGGCGGCCCTTAGTGGCCTTCAGTGCAGGCCCTGACGTGCGGCCCCCAACAACACATAAATGTGAAAACACTTCCCATCATCATCGTGTTGCTACCACACCCAGTGGTTTAGATTGTGTGGCGGCCCTGACACTGATAATGTCTTATTGGTGAAAGTACCCCCCCCTCTGAAAATTAAACGAAGCTTTGATTTAAAGCTTTCGTGACTGCAGTAATTCATATTTTTAGCTCTTTCGGTAAAGTTACGTTGAAGGGAAACAATAAAATAATCATTATTGTTTCCCTTCAACGTGACTTTACCGAAAGAGCTAAGAAAATGAAACGAAGATATTTCAAACCGCATTTTTTTTGTATTTCGCCAGGCAAGGCCCACTTAGCTATGTAGCTCTTTTTCAGAAGCGACCTGGCCACAAATGACCGCTCAACGAAGTGGCTTATCTAAATGTGGAGGGGAAAACAGGAGGACGCGGAAAAAAATACACGCAACCACGGGGAGAGAGACACCGCGAACTCCAAATATACTGGTGTCAGTGTCGGGATGACCCACAATCTCCTCCATACCAGGCGAGGGAGATAATATCTCCCAGCCACCGTGGCGCCTCATAGTGTTTTACTCTGCTACCCAAGCCTGCCGACAATGACCCACCATGGCCCGCCGTGACCCGCCGTGATCCCCCGTGACCCATCGTGACCCACTGTGATCTGCTGTGACCCGCTGTGACCCGCCGTGACCCACTGTGATCTGCTGTGACCCATTGTGACCTGCCGTGACCCACTGTGATCTGCTGTGACCCATCGTGACCCACTGTGAATCTGCTGTGACCCACTGTGACCTGCCGTGACCCACTGTGATCTGCTGTGACCCACTGTGACCTGCCGTGACCCACTGTGACCCGCTGTGACCCATTGTGACCCGCTGTGACCTTCTGTGACCTGCTGTGACCCGCTGTGACCCGCTGTGACCCGCGTGCAGCTGAGCGCACGCCCGAGCACGGCACGTGCCCCGAGGACCCGTCGGGCACCAGCTGGGTCGCCTTCCGTGGACACTGCTACTCGATCCACACGGACAGCCCCAAGTCCTGGTCGCTCGCCGTGCGCCACTGCATGGGGCTGAGTGCGTGTGGGGGGTGGGGGGGGGTGGGGGGAGTGGGGGGGGTGCACAGGGCACGGTAGGGGGCACAGCTGGTGCATCCGCCAGTCATCTCAGTCAACCCATTGGCACCTGGGTCTGTCCCGTGACCTCCTGCCAGCGGGCGTTCGACACTTCACGTGGACTTGAAGTGCACATAGCCTGGCACAAGCGCCGTGGTGACGGCACCGCCACTTAGTGGCGAATGGCGGTTGCTGTTGTCAGGGGGCTGTTTTTTCTGATGCTGATGATGGTTACCGTGCTGATACTGCTGCTGCTGGCGATAGGGCGACTAATTATGCTGCTGCTGCTGCTGTTAGCGCTGAGGGTGCCTGATCTGGCTTGAGGTGCCGCTTGCACCAGTGGTTTTGCTACTGCTGCTGCTAGTAGTAGTGCAGGGAAGAGGGGGATGTGGTCTGGTGGTGCAGAGGGGTGGGGGGAGCAGTGATGGTGTGGGTTGTGAGAAGTGGTTTAGTGGTGTGACCTGCGGGAGTGGAGGTGGTGGTGATGTAAGGTGTGGTAGTGTGGGGGTTGACAATATGGGTGTGTGGGTAGTGGTGGTGTACTTTGCACTCCTATCGTGTTTTAGTATTTTTGTTGTTGTAACGTTCTTACCCCGTGCCCCTACTGGACATCTGTAAATACATATTCTGATGATTCTGATCTCCCTCGAGCTGCTTGTATCTCCCTCCCAACAGCCTCTGTGTCTTGCTGACACTCCCATCTCTCCCTCGTCCCTCCCTGCGCCTCCTCTCGTCTCACGGCATCTCCCTGTGTCTCTCCCCCGTTTCTGCCGCCTCTCTCCGTGTCTTCTGGTGCACCCCCCACTCCCCTCGCTCTAACACAGACTCCTCCATGGTGAGCATCCACGACATGGAAGAGAACAAGTTCTTGGTGAAGATGTCCGTGATGGCCGATCCTCAGAGCCAGGGGCTCTGGACGGGCCTCTTCAAGTTGGAGACCGGTGAGGGCCGCAGCTCAGACGACCGCTCAGGAGGAAGAACTTCCCTCCAGCGGGGCTCCATGCACACCCCATCTCACGCTCTCACATCCTGTCTCTCCCCTCTCTGTTCTCTCTGTCTCCTCTATCCCATGCCACCTTCTCACTATCTTCCCTCTCTGCCCCCTTGCACTCCCCTCTCTGCTCTCTACCCTCTATCCCATCTCACCCCCCCCCCCCCCTCTCTCTCTTACGTCCCCTCTCCCTCCCCGTGTGCGCCCATCATCAGCTCACGTTCCAGCCAACCTCTACTGGCAGGACGAGAGCCCCGTGTCGTTCACCAACTGGAACTGGGGGGAGCCCAACACCGCGATGGAGCGCTGCGTTGAGCTGCTGGCGGGCGGCCGATGGAATGACAGATCCTGCTCCTACGTGCTGCCCTACGTGTGCAAGAAGCCGCAGGGTGCGTGACGGCCACGGGCGAGAGCCGGGCGGGAAGTGAGAAAGGACAGAGAGGGTAGCGAGCGAGGGAGAGACGAGAGGGAGGTGAGGGAGGAGCAGAGGGCACGGAGAGGAGAGGGGAGATTTTTTTTAATGATCGCTTGAACAGCCAAAGGCCATCTGGCGTCGTCTTGTTCTGGCACGAGGAACGTAACGTCACCGTCGCTTATTAAACACTCGCAACTCCAACGGGGCAAACGAGGGTTGTGCAGCTTTAAAAACTTCAACCTCGGGTGAAACTTTCTCGAGCGGAGTCGGGCGGGCGCGCACAGGCTCGGGGCGTGGGAGGTGCGGGATTGGAGCTGCGTGGTGCGTCGCCGCGTCGCTCGCCGCGTCGGGGTTCGCGCGAGAGTGCACGGCGAGCGTGCCCAGTGGGGGAGGAGGGGGGTGGTGGTGGGGGGGGGTGGGAGCCTTCGTAACGCGACGTTTTCTCCCGTGTGTTTTTGTTGCAGTGAGCGTCTGGGCGGCTCAAGCGTCAGGTGAGCAATCCGGGTCGAGGGTAGTTTTGTTATTTGTTAAATGCGCATCCGCTCATTCGTCTTTGCATGCATGTGTCTGTCCGTCTGTCCGTCTGTCCGTCCATGTGTGTGTGACCACCATGGGCGCAGTTTGTTGGGGGGGGGGGGGGGGGGGCAACGCCCCTCACAAAAACTGGACACTTTCATGAATGTATTTTCAGTTGTTTATAATTAAGATAAAAAATGCATTAATTATATGCACCGGCGATTCCTAATATGAGAGACAAAGCGAACCCATGCCCGCCCCCCAAATAGAGAATTCAAACTCCACCTATGATGACCATCCATTTGCCCATTTGTCTGTTCAGCAGTACTTTTGTCTGCTCGTACATATGCACTGTACATGCAACTGTCCTCATGTCCGTCTATCTGTATGTCTGTCTGCCTGTCTGTTCATCTGTGCTTTAGGCTGACCTTGCCATATGAGTGTTACCATTTATAATCCGGGCCGTCATTTTTCGTGCCATAAATCGGAAGAAATATTGGTTTCCTGCCGCCTCTATTTGTCAGCGCTGACCTGACAATTTTGTTGTTGTCAAATATCGTCTTTCTAGCCCTTTCAGAACAATAGAATGTACGTCTGACACTAAGGATATAAAAGTTCACCACATGACAGCAGTGATGGCGTATTCATCCATTAATGTTGAGAAGCCTACCCCAAGACACGGAGACGTTTGCTCTATTGGAATCCGAACACTCGGGATGGAACTGTTCACCAGACCCGCAATGCGATGAATCGTCTCGAGCTGTGGTTCTTCTTAAGCCGGGGTGCACGCACCCCTGGTGAGTGCGAGATGCCCTTTCAAGGGGCGCGAGACGTTTCCAGTTTTTTTTAGAAGGTAAATAATCTAAAACGCAAATGAAGCGCGGGCAGGTGAGCACAACTACTTTGTTTCACGAAACGTATGTATTCGTGAACATTGTACAGGCTGCAGTAAAGGCTAGGAATCACTGGACTCGAGCAATCGTCAATCAATTTCATTGATTCTTATTTTCCTTTGCGGTGCATGTGGAATTTACAGCAGTGCGAATCTGTGGAATATACACAGGAGTCGATCTATACAATCTCGAGTCGTGACTCTATATACGCTGCAGTGGAGCGGATTATGGCAATCTTAAACAGTGCGAACGTTTAGAATCTGCAGCGCCATGCATCTATAGTGGTGGATCTATAGAATCCGCAACGCTGTGAGCCTTTACAAAAAAGACACTCATACATTATCACTGTTGCCGAGCACGTACTGTATGCGTGTTGAACTTTTTTCGCACCGTACATAGCCAACCGTGCTAATCGGAGGTGCGGGGGGTGGGGGTTAAGGACACCAAACTAAACACACAAAAATCAGTTATTAATAAATGAGTTGGCCACAGACACCACAGGTTCCCAAACACCGAGCGGCCGGCAACAAACAGCACCAATAACAACATCAACATGAATTTGCCGAGCAGAGTCACTCACTCTCTCTCTCTTTTCTTGTCATCCCGACCCCCCACCGGCGTGACCTGTGCGCCGACGCCACCACCAACACCTTCATCACCACCTCCATGCTCCTGCAGAGGGCGCGGTGGCTCCCGCGGGCATTGCGGCCATCGTGGTGTGTCTGCTGCTGCTCGTGGTGGCCGGGCTGTGCGCGCTGGCGGTGCGCGCGTCGCACACACGCGGCCTCTGGGCGCTGCCGTGCGTCCCCTACAGCGGGGTCATGTTCGCCGCGTCGCGCGACAGCACCACGGACAGCGGTCCCAAGATGCTCATCAACGACGACGAATGCAACGAGCAGCTCTGAGACGGGGGAGGCGGGGGGGGGGGGTTGGAAGTGGTGGGGGGTAGGGTGTGGGTAAGAGGGGAGGAGGAGGAGGAGTGTGAGGATGAGATGGGAAGCAGTGGGGGAGAGAAAAGGGATGGACGGTGCAGAGAGGTTGAGGGTGGTGTTGGAGAGTGGGCAGTGGGAGATATGGTGAGTGGAGCCATCGAAATAGATAAGCGAGGGGGAGAGAGTTAGAGCGGGATATGTGGACGGAAAAGATGCTGGAGTGAGAGTAGCGAGATGCACGGTTTACTACGTGCGGTGCGAAAGAAGTTCAACACACGAGAGGTGGTAAACAGGAAAGGAAGGAGAGAGAGTGGGTGGTGTGAGAGAGAGATCATTGAAGGAGCTGGGGGGACAGCAGATTGGTGGTAGACTGAGAGCGCAGGGAGACGTGAGAGAGGAAGTGATGGGGGAGTAGAGGGGGGTGTGAGAGAGAGAGAGAGAGGGGGTAGAGGGAGCAGATGAGCTGTGAGCCAGGAGACAGGTTGGCGGGTAGCAGGGTGGAGGGTCTGAGAGAGGGAGCGATTGGCATCGGAGAGAGAAGAACAGAGACGGGAAAGAGATGCCTGATGGGGAGAGTGGGGGGGGTTTGGGGTAATGGTGAGAGAGGAGAGAAGCATGGGGCCAGACGTGATGTGGCATCAAGTGGAAGAGAAGGCAGAGATGGGGGGTGGGGGGGGGCGGTGTGGGAGGAGAGTGGGGGCAGAGCAATAGATGGGGCCAAGGGTGGACGCGAAGAGAAGGGACGGGTGAGAGAAAGAGCAGAGATGCAGAGGGTATCTGGGAGAGTGAGAGGGCGGGATGGTAACAGGAGGCGAGGCCGATGCGAGGGAGTGCATACAGATAGAGCAAGGGGGATGAAGGACAGTGGCAGATGGGGGTGGGAGAGACGCGTGAAAGGCGGGGAAAGTGGAGAGATTAAGAGAGGCGATGGCGAGTTCGAGATGAGTACGAGTGGCGACACGGCAATTATAATATGGAGAGGGGAGAGACGGGGAGGAGAATTGAGTCCCGAGTCAGGAGATCACAAGGAATGAGATAGCGCAGCTTGTCAGCCCATACGGTTTAGCCCGTATTCTTGTACAGGGAAATTGAGCTTTGATGCCCATACGGCGCACAGCCGTTTCTATACGGGCCAAACAAAATGTGTCTATTTTTTTGTGTGTTTCTCCCTCGTGATGGGACTTTGTAGGATGAACCGTTGGGATGTATAAGGGGCCACGGGGGTGATCATTAAGGTCTGAATTTGTCTGTAATAAGGTAGGGAGGGCACTGATAAGGGGTTGACAGGTAAGAGCGAGAGGCGAGGGCATTGCAGAACGAGAGGTGGGGAGGAGAGCTGAGGGAGAAAGCCAACAAGAGACCACGAGGGTAGCAAACGTCGCTGGAGGTGATGCGGGGCGTTGTTTGTCAGCGGTGGTTGTGGTGGCGGGGGATGCACACGGAGCGGCTCCGAGCTGCGTACAGCTTGCACCACCATAATATATGCGTGTGAGCGCTGCTACAAACGATCTAATTTTATTACAATTAACCAAAGTGATTCGTTCCGTCGGTCGCCGGTGACGTGATTTGTCGCCGGTGGTGACTTGGAAGTCGGTGACGACAGATCAAGTCGCCGGTCACGTGATTTGTCGCCGGTGGTGACTTGGAAGTCGGTGACGACAGATCAAGTCGCCGGTCACGTGATTTGTCGCCGGTGGTGACTTGGAAGTCAACGACGACAGATCAAGTCGCCGGTGACGTGATTTGTCGCCGGCAGCGGCGACTTGGAAGTCGGTGACGACAGATCAAGTCGCCGGTGACGTAATTTGTCGCCGGCGGCGGCGACATGGAAGCCGGTGACGACAGATCAAGTCGCCGGTCACGTGATTTGTCGCCGGCGGCAGAGTGCGTTGCGTCGCGTGGGATTTGTCGAGTCCGGATTAATTTTTTGGGTTTATCGGCGATTTGCGTGAAATGTGTCCGCCCATCCACGAGTCGAACTCAAGCTGGAGGTCGAACGTGCAACTCTCCTTTCGCGAAGCTTCATGAAATTATCCATGTATTTTGCAACATTCATCTCAATCGTCACCCATGGGGGTATTGTGTGTGTGTAATGAAGAGGCCGGGAGGTCGTCTCCGGCCTTCCCCGTCTTGCCCGGGGCGGCTCCGGGTCCCAGCGAGCCGGGCAAAGGATCTAGGCCTATGAATTTTTTAAAAAAGCTAGTAAAAAAGCTATCGAGTTGCAACAAAAAAACAAGGAAATACATGGCAAATAACTCAGGTGCGTGTCGTTTTACTTCATAAAGAGAGATTACTATAGACGTGTTTAACCTCGAAGCTGGTATCCCTTCAGCAGCACTCCGTGACCCCGGTGCAGCCAATCTCTGTGCGCGCGTTACCAAGTCAAAAAAGCCATTTGTAAGAAGAGCAAAACGTTAAAACTTTTGTTTATTCCACTGGGTAAGGCCCCACCGAGCTATATTTAAGCTCTATATTTTGTTGTTGCAGAAGCGACCTGGCTATCACAAATGAGGTCTCAACGAAGTGGCTCATCACCGTCACCCGCGTGTTAAAAACAAATTTGACGGCCTCAGCCAAATGGTCTCGGACGTGCGTTTGATTAATTCTCAACGTGATGCCGGGTTGATGAGAAGTTGCAGAGGTTCACGTTCCCCAACCCCAAGTATCGCTCCCCATGTTCAACAGAGCCACATCGGACAACATTGTTGCCAGCAGGCGATTGTGATTCCTCTTCAAATTTTTTTTTCCGGAACGCTGCGAGGCTGGCTTGTCGGGATTATTGGCGTAAGGCACTACCACGAGAGTACAACGTGGTGTCTTACATTGGTGTAGCCTAATTGTGAAGTTGTAGTTGTTGCTCCGCGTCTACATCAGCCATACGTAAGAAGAATAAGAAGTTGTACCCTATTACCTCTATATATCAAACAACGCACCGTTCAAACTTGGGCTTCCGACAACACGAACACAAAGGCGGGTTCTGTGTAGAACGGTTTCTGTTAGTCGCTGGGTAGTGTCCGATAACATTAATGTCACCCATTGGTAAAATGGGTTCCACCCGTGTGTCAAGTGGCTTTCAACCAGCTCGGAGAGAAACCCGCCTCCGTGTGCTATGACGCTCAAATCGCCGCACAGATGGATTCAATAAATGCATTTTTGTGCCAACCATCTCCCGATCACCTTGCAGGCTCGCGACTACAACGCCGCAAGCAAAGTCCCATCCCTCCCAACCCCCACCCCTAACCCAAGTTAGCGACCAGGGCTCCAAACCAGCTTAGGTTTTTTTTTGGGGGGGGGCCTCTTGAGATTCGAAGAGACGTGGCCACACACGATGCTCAGTCAGCAGCACCTCGACAAAAATCGCACCACTTGCTTCGTGGTTTGTTCGCGGTGGTGCCGCATGCGCTCTCCGATGTGTGTGTTTCTGGTCGTGCCGCGTGTTACGGGAAGGTGTCCGACGTTTCGCTGCACGTGCCGGGAGGTTTTTTTCCCTTCTTATTCTCGCGGGACTAAAATCCAGCCGCGTGCCAAGCAGCACGCGGTACGAGCGGACAGCGAGCATCGGGAAGGCTGCGTCATGTCCATGTCTGGTTGGGAAACGGGGGTCGATTTTTCTCCGAATCATCACCCGACTATATACGTGTATGATTATGTGCTGTATATCCTCTTGTAAGGGCAGAGCTAATGATGTGAATGCGGGTGAGTGTTGACTGATTTGTGCTATGCGCGTCGCTATAAATGCACTCTTGGTCTTTGTGTTTTTTGCTCGTGTTCGCGTTTTGTGCGTTCACTGCCGTCGCCTGAATGTGGCGGGCAAAGTGTCACATTTGCAAGGAGCGAATACGGTTTTTCTGTTTAATTTTTAAACTCTTACTTGTTCAATTCACAGTGTGTCGTTACGTCGCAATTGCTGACGGTATACGGAATGTTACGCAGTATATGTATATGATAGGGTGTTCTCCGCGTCTTACCACAGTAAACTTAATATATTAGCTACAGTACAATATGGGGATTGGTTGTTGTTTTTGTTTTTTTCATTCGTTTCCGGGTTGAGGTTTTTTTTGTTGTTGTTGGCTCCACTGAGTTCGGTGTTGCAGTCAATGCGACGGTTCCTGAGCCTCATTGAATCTCAATCTCATTGAATCTCAATCTCATTGAATCTTAGTCTCATTGAATCTCAATCTCATTGAATCTTAGTCTCATTGAATCTCAATCTCATTGAATCTTAGTCTCATTGAATCTCAATCTCATTGGATCTCAATCTTATTGAATCTTAGTCTCATTGAATCTCAGTCTCATTGAATCTTAGTCTCATTGAATCTCAATCTCATTGAATCTCAATCTAATTGAATCTCAATATCATTGAATCTCAGTCTCATTGAATCTCAATATCATTGAATCAGCAATCTCATTGGATCTCAATCTTATTGAATCTTAGTCTCATTGAATCTCAGTCTCATTGAATCTTAGTCTCATTGAATCTCAATCTAATTGAATCTCAATATCATTGAATCTCAGTCTCATTGAATCTCAATATCATTGAATCTCAATCTCATTGAATCTCAGTCTCATTGAATCTCAATCTCATTGAATCTCAGTCTCATTGAATCTCAATCTCATTGAATATCAGTCTCATTGAATCTCGATCTAATTGAATCTCAGTCTCATTGAATCTCGATCTAATTGAATCTCAATCTCATTTAAAATCAATCTCGTTGAATCTCAATCTCATTGAATCTCAATCTCATTGAATCTCAGTCTCATTGAATCTCAATCTCATTGAATCTCAGTCTCATTGAATCTCGATCTAATTGAATCTCAATCTCATTTAAACTCAATCTCGTTGAATCTCAATCTCATTGAATCTCAGTCTCATTGAATCTCAATCTCATTGAATCTCAATCTCATTGAATCTAAATCTAATTGAATCTCAATCTCATTTAAACTCAATCTCATTTAAACTCAATCTCATTGAATATC